AACCATTCTTAAAATGTTATTTTATTAACATTTTATCCATAGAAATGTAAACATTAAATAAATAAATCATAAAATATTATAATAAAAATAGTCCATAAGTATACCAAATAATAAATATTAAATTATTAATAACTAAATACTCTTAGAAGTTCAAATAAATAGCAGAACACTGTCTACCTACATTAAGTTTGTTATTGTTAGTAAAATTGGGTTAGTTTTATGTATATATATATAAACCTAATATTATGTAGGTACATTTAAATACTGTTTTAAGTTTTGTTACATTTGTTTTTCTTGTATAAGTAAGTAGGTATCAAATTTATTGATTGACAACACTAAAGTTAAAAAAAAAACACATCACACATTTGGTACATAACTTAAATAACACCATAAAAATTAATTCACATATCCACATTCATATTCCCACCAATTTTATTCTGTACAATAAAGTATTTTAACTAAATAAAATTCACTTTTTATTACGATCTTTATGGGGAAAAAAGTATTATCAAATAGAGCAGATTCCAAAGAATATTTTTATACTTGTTTTACTGTAAATACTAATTAATATAGTCAAGCCAAATTATAAAAAAAGTTATGAACTAATTCATTGATAGATGATACCAATATTTTATTTATACCTCACATTACACATTCCAAATAATATATCTAAATAATTTTAATTAGGAACAAATAAAACACATTAATAATGTTTAAATATTAAATATAAATAATAAATATACTATTATTAATATAAATAAACCTTTAACTGATTATAGCCACAGTTGTATTATCCAAAACCATGATATTATTCTTGAAAAAAAAAATTATTTATAATAGAAAATATAGAACTATAAATAATCCTTTGATTACCATACCTTAATAATAAATCGGATATCAAATAATAAATGTATTAAAAACTAAATAAGTAAAGGCACTTACCATAAATAAGTCTTTGAAAAATCTAATTGTAGAACATTTAGTTATAATTTATCACTAATTTCACTGAAATTATTTATCAATTCAAAACACTAAAATTGGTGAAAAAACACATCACATAGGTAAGCAATAAACATCAACTACGATTACCAACCTACCTACCTATATTATTAAAAACACTAATTATTTGTTTATATACATAATTGGTTTTGTAGTAAATTATTTTAATTTACTGAAGGAAACTGGAGAATATTCATCATCAATAACATTTTAATTTATAGTATTAGTATTACACTAGGTATTATACCTATTATACCTATTAGTATATACTATATCTACAATAAAGAAAAGCTTTCATGCTTAATAAATGGCTATATTGATTAATTTATAGATGTATGCACCTCAAAATTTTAATCAATTAAATTAAACTTTGTAAAGCATACTAATTTAATTGTTGAAGCTAATTGTACCACAAAGTTTCTAATAAAAAAAAAAGCTCAAACTTAGTTCAAAATTGATATCTAAATGTACAGATGAATTTTATTTATTACCTTCTCCTTTTGAAGTTAAATCGGCTTTTTTTTATACTGTAAGCGATGCCTGAAAGTGTAAAATAAACCCGTACTCTTATATTATAAGTTACAAAAAATAATATCTATAGTTTTACATATTAAGTTAATTGAATTTTGAAATAAACTAAATTCATTCAAAAATGAATTTATCTAATGAAAAATAAATCGTTAATATTTTTAATGTTATACAGATACATTTAATTGAAGTGAATAATTAATTTATAAAAATTAATAAAAAAATAATAACTCATCACATTATATTTATTCAAACTGAGTAATTTACTTACAAAATAAATGTATAATTATTTTTAAAAAACATTTAAATAGGGAGGTAAATTAAATTTAAGTACAATAAAATATATATTATACAGATACCTTTAGTTTACTATACAGGTACTTTTAAACAATGATACAAATTAAAACCAACTAAAACTTATCAATAACATCTTCATAATTTTCAAGGTAAAAAAAATTAAATATTCTCCAATTTCCACAAGATTATACTATATTACAATAAAAAGTTCAGACATCAATCATTTCATATGATATTTATAATATTTCATTAAAACAACTTTAATAGAAGATTACTTTTAGGTATTTTACCATAAAAAAAAAAAAATCAATTGCTGTATGTAACATAATAATATGATATATATATATTAATATTATAATGTAGTTATTAATTTAATTAGTATTCTGTTAAGTTAAAGAATTTAATTTAAAATATTACAAAATGATGCTCATTCTGAACAGCCAGGATTCACATTTTATAAGTTAGTACCTATTTATCAATATTGAGATAGATTATATTTTAGTAAGTAATACTATGGATATTTGGGAATGAATCACTAGCTATTTAATACAAATATCCACTCACCTCATGTGACACTGCAGTTTGAACTTACAATTGGCCATGTCAAATCTAAAACAGAATAAAAAAAAAAAATTGTAAATAACAGGTATATGCTAACCTATAAATATTGGTATGGGATGGAAAAGGTAAAAATAAATATCGGAAAATATAGAATTACGTCAAACCAATAAATTTGGAATTACATCAATTTGAATAGCTAATCATGGAATAGTTCATGAACGATTTACATACTCTGAAGAAATTATTAAAGCCAGACATTAAATTAAATATAGATGATTATTTTATTGTCGACTTACTTCAATTAATCGAAAATTATCTTTATTTACATTATTAATAATATAAGATTCAAATTTAGTATTGTTGCAGTATTTTTGAGGTATTTATAGACATTTTAATTTTGCGAGTTTTTTTTTAAATTTTTATTCGGTTTACCTATGATATAATATCTAAAATAGTTGAACTAAACAGTATTGCTTGCAAACTTAACGGGAGGTTAATAATAATTCGTAATCAGTGGTAAAAAAAAAAAAATTGAGTTTAATATGGTTTTTTTTTTTTTTATAAGAAACTTAATATCAAATCTTGGGTAAAATCTTAAATACTACACCTTTTCAAACATGTAAGTATAACCGAACTTCGCTCCAAATGTTTTCGTTAACAGGTAATGTAGGGTACTGAGGTAAATGTAATTTTGGTGTAAGCGAGACTGCGAAATATTTAGATATAATAACATTCGTAATTATACACCAGACAACATTAAACCGATGCATCACATTGTCCCATTGGAGTTGTTAAAATGTATGCGTTTGTTGCATTATTTATTATTGTTATCAAGTCCCGCGTAAAATGGTGTGATAAAATTTGAATGTAAAAATTCAGTACCGTTGAGTACTTCGTCAATAACATTTAATTATATCCGATTTGAATGATTATTCATTCGGTTCACTCAAATCAAGTACAATAAATATTATTTATTATATAATTTAATAATTTAATAATTAAATAACATTATTTCATATTATGTTTTTTACGATTTCTCTCTTGCCGTTCATTAAGTGTAGAATTAGGTGTACGTGTGTTTAATAGATATGTGGGGAAAGTGTGAACTGAGAAAATCATATAGGAATAGGCTTTAAACATGAAATCTGAACAACTAAAATCAATATTTTTTTTTAGAAGTTTGTAACTCTTAAACGAGTAGGTTAATTTTTTTCATTTTTGTATCAAATAAATTCATAAAACGTGTAGATAAAATCACTTGTCTCAAAGCGGTTCAATTTATTAAATAACGTTATTTTATATGCCGATTTACAGTCACCCCAAATAATGGAGGACTGCGAGTTTTTTTTAAAAAATAGTGCTAATCAGTAAAATTGTAATTTTTAAACCTTTAAGTGTAAATTTGTATTCTCTGGAAGTTTTCATACAATGTCTGATGAATATTTAATTGATAAATAATACATGGTCCATTTAATGGCAATGGTACTAAAAAAAAAAAACTAAAAAGTGGTCACAGATACACATACCTCACCTTTACCTCAATAGTTAATCGTTGTGTACAGATATAAATTAGATTCCTCAGTAGATATATCCTATCATCCCAACTTCTCATCTACAACAGTGGCTCACCCATCATGCAAAGTATGTCAGTCTTTTTTTTTTATAAAACAGAGTTAGCATTTAAGACTAACAATTTAAATTATAGTGGTTCAAATATATGGAAATGATTATTTGATATAGATAAATAATGGTAATCAAAATTAATATTAGTGATTTAAGTTTAGTTTATGTTTATAGAGTTTAAACAAGAGTTTTATTTAGAGTTTTATCTAAAGATAATAATATATATATTTTTTTAGAATTATATTTATTTTAATTTTTAAATAAAGTGAATAAGTACATAAATAAAGTGTATATGTAAAAATAAAATATATAAATGAATCAATGCGTCGCCTGGAGTATTAAAAGTGTATTATACGACCGGTTTCGTATTAGTTTTGACTAGTCCATGTTCTACATTTTGACTATAATATACCTGATGATAAATTTTTGAATTCGAAACCAGTCGCTTAATACTCCAGGCGAAGCATTGATTCATTTATTTATTTTATTATTATATACACATTATTTATTTAAAAGTATTGACCATTTAAATAATTAGTAAAAAAAAATAGTTAAAAAATAATTTAGGTGCCGAACTGTAAAAAGAAAACTGTAGTTTTAAAACAAAAATTACTAGGTACCACGGGAAACTAAAAAAATCTTCAGTAGGTACTGCACTTGCTATTGTTGTTTAGTGTTATTATACTATAATCCGTGTAATAATTCCCAAATTTAAAAAAAAAAACCGATTATAAAAATCAAAAGATTCTTTTAAAAATATTTAAAGAATGTGCGCAATTATAAACAAGTCGGGGAAAAGAAAGATTACATCACTGAATATGATTTTCACATGTAAAAAAAATAAATTTTATAATTATAATTGCTTCAAAAATATAATCTATCTTCGCATTGTTTAACCATGATCAAAGCCTTATAATATATTTAGGTTATTATTGATTGTTAAGTGAATTCACAAATCCTCAATATAGACAACAAATGAGAAAATCATTGCAATGTATTATAAATATTTATATTGAACATAAAAATAGACTACACAAAAGAATACACCAGATTGTGATGTATTAACTACATTACTTTATTTAAATACAATTTAATAATGATCAAACACAAATTAATCATAAATGTAACATCATTTTATATTTCTGTGGTATTTAAATTAAATAAATCAACAAACATATGCCACATTTTTGGAATGAGTTTTTTTTATGCCTTTTATATGTTTACAATTTGTACAATTTCCAATTATTACAATCAATGCAATAGACACATGACTAATGGAAATTATAGCCAAATTTGTACACATAATATATTAAATAAAAAAAAAAATTGTATAAAAAAAAAACCTAATAGATTACTAATAAAATTAATTTGATTCTTATAAAATAATAACATCGAGAACATATAACTAGGATAGAAAAATATTGATGTCGCAAGCGATGTCAGTCTTTGTCATTTCTAAACCAAATATTACATCATGCCACCCATTCCTCCCATACCGCCCATTCCACCCATACCGCCCATGCCTCCTGCTGGTAATGGTTCATCCTTCTTTGGTAATTCAGTGACAACTGCTTCCGCTGTAGTTAACAAAGACGCAACACCCGCAGCATCAGTTAAAGCAGTCCTAACAACCTAGACATAACAAATAATTTATTAAAATACAAATATTGTAATATTACACAGAGAAAAATTAACTTTTAGGACATTATAAAATTTATTTTTACTAAAACTAATTAATATTTTTAATACTTCTGAGTTTGGTAGCATTTTTAGGTTATAAATGTCAAAACTTCTATATGATTTAATGTTTATTATAACAATATACAAGTATTACCTATTTTTCAAATTATTTAATAAAATTGTCTATGAATATGACAGCTGCACAGCAATGATCCTAACACATGACATTGCTACCCCTAATAGTAATATGTAATATGTAATTATACAATGTAAAAATGAGGTTCAATGAAGAAGTAAATAATACTCTTAGTTATTATAAAATGGTTATTACCTTTTATATATTATAAAAAATTATTCCATTAAAATAATGTTTAAAAAAAAAATAATTAAAACACCTTAGCTATGTTCCTTAAAAAGGTGTTAAATGTGTCACTTTTATTGATAACCTTCTATCACATTTTAATAATATGACTACCAAGTCAATAAATTATAGATCTATAGTAAATATGTAACAAGTTGTATCCTAGATATTCATTAATTTTAAATAAAATATAAATCATTTGTTAAAATAAAAAATATGATAACTTATATAAATTTAAAAGGTTTATGGGGAATCAATACCGTTTTCTATCAAAATAGATCTATATTTTTAATAAAAATTGTCCTAATATTCAGGTGAAATTTCAAAAGCAATGATTGGATTTGTCATTAAGTGTATTTGAAATGAGTTTTCCACTTTTTTAAAATTGATATCTTAAAATAACCCTTTATTTTAAATGTGAAGTATACCCATATAAATAACTAGATAAGTAATTACAAATAGGTAATCATTTCATATATTTTACATGAAATATGAAAAATATTTGAATGAAATAACGAATTTACAATGCTGTATATGTTATAGCCTTTTAAGTATGCTCAAAAGTATATAAATGTAAGAAATATAAATAAATAATTAATATGTATTATGAGAAATATTTTATAGCATAGTCATCAAATAATCATAAATAGTTTAAGGCACGATTATTGGTACAAAAGCTTTCCATTAACAAAAAAAAAAAACTTCATAGTACAAAACCCTGAAACTATTACAATCAATCGATTTAAACTTCACAGGAATTCATATTAGGAGTGAATAACTCCCCAAACAGTTATTTTTTACTACATCCTGCTTATTGTAATGGTTAACTAAAGCTGATAACCAGTTTATTTATTGATTGATTGTTGACAGCAATCTCATCACATAGCACCCATGTCACCAATAAAGACCACTTGTAATCACATGCAGATACAGTGGCAGAACATGGCATATGGGTCATTCACTAATGATTAATTATTGCATATACAGAAACACACCAAAAAGGTATGTAATACAGAAATTACCTATACTCAACTCCTTACAAACATTCAGTATAGAACTCTCTTAAAATAATAGCTTTATTTAATTAGATAACCAATTACTCACTTTAGTTGGATCAATGATTCCTTTTTCAATCATGTTTACGTATTCATCATTCAAAGCATCGTATCCAAAATTGTCTTTACCTTCCGATACTTTGGCAACTACAACACTTCCATCAACACCAGCATTTCGGGCAATTGTCATACAAGGCATAGTCAAAGCTTTACGTACAATTTCAATACCTTAAAAAAAAAATATATAAATTCCTCATAATTTTAATTTTTTTATTTTTTAATTACAACTCACCAATTTTCTGGTCATCATTGACTACTTTGATCGTATCCAATGCACCAGAACAGCGGATAAGAGCGGTACCACCTCCAGGAACAATACCTTCTTCTACAGCTGCTCGAGTAGCATTGAGGGCATCAGTAACACGATCTTTTTTTTCATTAACTTCAACTTCACTACTGCCACCTATTTTCAATACAGCAATACCAGATGCCAATCTTGCAAGGCGTTCTTGCAGTTTTTCTTTTTCATATTCAGATGTCGTATCCTTGATTTGATCTCTTATTTGTTCAGCTCTTTGTTCAATATCAGATGGTATGCCATTACCCTAATTGAAAATTTAATATAATTATTTCTATCTAATAATACAGTATGAGATAACACAAATTACTTTCAACAGTAAAGTGTCTTCCTTGGTGATAACAACTTCTTTGACTTCACCAAAATCGCCAGCTTTAATATCTTCAATTTTTATTTCATTACCTTCCTGTCCAAAGACCACACCACCAGTTGCAATAGCCATATCAGTTAATGTAGATTTACGATTATCTCCAAATCCTGGTGCTTTAACTGCCGCAACATTTAGGCCAATCTTTAATCTAAAAAAAAAATGTTTATTAATTTATACTCTTTAGAATTCAATAAATTCATAATAGCTAAATACCTATTTAACACTAGCATTCCAATAACTTCACCATCTAAATCTTCGGCGATAATAACAAGTGGTTTGCGTTGAGCATTAGCTAATTCTAAAGCAGGAATCAATGATTGGGCAGAGGAAATTTTTTTCTCACTGAATAAGACTAAAGCATCTTGGAATTCTACTTTGGCTCCTTTAATAAAAAAAATTCAAACGCTAAAAGATTTTAATTTTTTTTTTTTTTTAATGTATTATTAATATTTACCTTTAGGAGAATTAATAAAATAGGGTGAAATATATCCTCTATCAAATTTTAAACCTTCGATAACTTCTAATTCATCTTCTAAAGTTTTTCCATCTTTTACTGTTATTACACCATCTTTTCCCACCTATTTTTATAAATATGTGTTAACATAAAAAAAACTACTAGTTTAAAGATTAGTAACCTTTTCCATGGCAGAAGAAATAAGTTGTCCAATACTAGCATCTCCATTAGCAGAAATTGTAGCAACTTGTGCAATTTCATCTGCAGACTGTACCTTCTTTGATAATTTGCTTAAATGTGTTTTTACTGTATCAACTGCTAACATGACTCCTAATAATTAAAAGTTAAAAGTTAAAACTAATTAATACTTTAAATTATAATTACTTATTTCTTATTACCTCGTCTAATTTCAACTGGGTTGGCCCCCTTAATGATCTTTTCAAATCCTTCTTTAGCGATAGCACGTGCTAATACAGTAGCTGTAGTTGTGCCGTCACCAGCTTCATCGTTGGTATTATTTGCTACGTCCTGTACAAGCTTGGCACCAATATTTTGGAATTTATCTTGTAATTCAATACCTTTAGCAACAGTCACACCATCCTTGGTGATTTTAGGAGAACCCCAACTCTGCTCTAAAATAACATTACGGCCCTATAAATAAATAAAATAAAAATTCATATACATTTTGTATTATTTAAACATAATGTTAAAATAATAATAGTTTATATAATATATATAACTACTTACTTTTGGGCCCATTGTAACAGCAACAGCATCAGCAAGGATATCAACTCCTTCAAGCATAAGTTTTCGCACTTCTGGACCAAATTTAATATCCTTGGCATAGTTTCTGGCAAGGTATTTCGGAACATTGTTTCTAGCAAGGGCAGATAAACGGTACATCTAGAACATCAAACCATAAAAATGTAATTTTTAAATTAAACATAAAAATGCATCATTTGATTTTAACATACAAAAAGTAAAATTTTTGGGTATAAATATGATAAAAAAAAAACATATATAGGTATATATTATCTAATGTTATAAAGTAACTTGTAACAATCATATGTAATAAAGTAGAGATTTAGATAATTGAAAGTCATTACACCTAATGAAGGGTTATATTACAATTATCTACTTATCAATAGAATATAAATTTAATCATATCAAGATTCTGTAATTTATAACCAATTACTAGGTATATTGAACTCTTTTATCAGTTTTTGTTCTTAACGAATAACAATCTATGATAATTTAACAAATAAAATGCAAGTGTAATTTATGCAATTTATTCTTAAAACAATATTAAGTTATTATATTTAATTTGACTCAATTTTAAATATTTATATAAATAAAGGGTGTAATAGGGCTATTTGACATAGTCCTATTACACTTTTGTTTAATGTGTACCATAGGTAGGTACATAGCTACAGTACTTTACTTTGAAATTTAATGTAAATACATATTATAATTAAATTAAAAATGTAAATAAGTATCCATATTGTTGAATGACGAATGTTTTTATATATATTTAAGTTCTCATCTAGTTTGACTATTTGATTTTTATTATTAGCAATATTTAAAACTGAGTAAGCAGACCAAAAAGGTATTATACAAATTTAGAACTAATTATGTGGGTTAAAAATAGGATATACCTAAATACAATATTTTGAGATATTCTTTGTGAAATAAAATAATCTATTGTAATGAAATTTTTTGAACTGTTTAAATGTACATTACCTGATTAAATTAAAATTATATTGAGCTTGAAAAATAATCTTGTTAGAACCACATGGGTATTGGGTACCTTAACTTAATTTAACCTCTACATTATGTCTTAATTTGGTAGAAAATAAAAACCGAATGAATTTAAATCTATTTGTGTGTTTAATTAAATCTATTGGCCAATAAATAAATGTCTAAGAAACAAAGTAAATTAATAAAAATTAGTGAACACGATAGAAAAACGCCGGCCGGGTTGTGCAAAGGTTAGGGTAATAATAAGTAAAGAAATACCGACAGCTAAAATGTACTAAGTAAACGTAATAAAATAATACTATTATCTTACCTTAAATAATATTTATAAGGATGGACAGTAAGGAATTTAAAAATTGTAATTATTGATTAATAGTTAAACTGAAGAAAAATTAATTTTTAATTTCTCCAACACGGAACAATTCAACACGAATTTTAAAACCGGGAGACCAACACCAAAGTGAACCTCTATTGCTCTATGGAAATTTCTAGAAGGAAAACTTGATCAGTTAACAGTGTAGCCAATAAACTAATAATAATATTTTAACTGTAACTCTGTAACCATAAAACCGGAATCCCGCCACTTTTAGAAAATAATATAAAATAACAATAATAATTTTTTTTGACATAGCTACTTTATTTAATTAAATATAATTTTTAATAACTGTTTCACTGCATTTCTTTAAAAAGAATATGTTTTGATTAAAGTATCTAAATATTAAACATGCTATAAAATTTCAAATTAAATACATTGAATAATTGTACACATACTTTTTTTTTTTTAGCATATTATACCACTATAATACATACTACATTGACACTACTTACACACTATTGTAATCAATGGTACTAGCTGCTGGTCTGAATCTATATTAAATACGAATGTTCGTATAATAATAATTCCAACACAACTAAATTAAATGTGAGGTAATTGAAAATTTTGGAACAAAATAGATTAAAATTCTAATAGGCCAACAACTTAAAAAACATTTCCTTAAGAAAATTAAGACTACTAACAGTATCTGCAGCTACTGTACTATTTAGATACCTATGTATTACATATTATAGTTAGATAAACAGTATATACACAGAATAGATAATAAATAGATGTATACATACATAATGATAAGACACACATAGATTTTAAAATTATCTGTCAACATCTCGTATTACAATTATGTTTAGAACATTTCTACTGCCTATTACTACATATTACTTCATAGTAACTACCAACAAACGTTGTTAATATATAAATACAAAATAAAAAATTTGAATTATTCTACTATTAATATATTTACTAAATTATAAAACACAGTATAATAATTGTATATTGAGTAACCTATACTTCTGTACACATTTTTTGTTTTTTTTAATTTAAATTTAAATATTTATTTTATTTTATTTATCAATAATACAGAATAAGCCCAAAAATACAAGTAAATTAATAGCAATAAAAGAAAACAAGTAAAACGTTAAGAAGTTAAATGAAGGGTCCGAGTTATTTACTATAAAATTATACAATTCAGGTACTTTTTTTTAAATTAGTGATTTAAAAAATAATTTATTGTGTTTCTTTTACTTCTACAGCCATTTTTTTACAAGATTATCAAAGGTTACAACCACGGTTCAAGATAATATATTAAATCGTGGTTATAACCCACTATTGATTATTCTATACACAATTTATTATACCTTCAGGCTTCATGTGATGCTTATATATTTAAAATAATCGTATTCGTAATAATAAAAGTATTTTATTTAGGTATTAAATATTTATAACAGATACAAGTATTATTTCATATCATATTTTTTTATTATCAAATAATATTTATAGTACGCTAAAAATAAGTTTGTTACTATTTTGACATCTGTGCATGTACCTATATCTGTAAGTGTTTTGTGTGTTTTATAAATCTACAACTAATTTAATTAGTTTTAATTTTTAAAATGAGTTCCGATAAGAGCACAATAAAATATTTATACGAAAATATTATTCAGGATCAAATTATGTGTGTCGAGTATTTAAGACAAAACAACCTTTTACCTACAAAGGATGTTAATAATATAGTTTGCTCAAAGGTAAATGATGATGGCATTAAATGTGGTGGTCAATTATGCGAAAAAGAAACAACTCGTACTAATGAAAAAATAAAACATATTTCACAAAGCACATATGAAAAAATTGTCAGTTGCTCTAGACAGGAATGCCAGGCGTCTCAGTCAATACAATCAAGAAGCAAATTTTTTACTTACACAGATCTCAACGAAAAGTTCCAGAGCAATTTATCCCTAACAAACATAATGGAACTCATTTGGTTTTGGGCTCAGAGGATACCAGTAGAAAGTGTTGTTCAATTAACAGCTAGAAGTGAACAGTCTATAAGAGACTGGTATAACTTATGCACGGATGTTACAGTTGATCAGTATTATAAAAGACAGAAAATGGGCGGTCCCAGTCGTATTGTACAGATAAATGGATTCCTCTATCAAAGGACACACAGTTATGATCGTGGTAACTATGACCCAGACATAAATGCATATGTTGAAAATTCTGAGGATGATACCGCAAGTTCAGATAATGGAGAAAATACAAATTCCAATAGTGATGGTAATACAGATGAAGATAGTGAAAATAAAGCCCCATTAGAAAATAATCAACAGAGATTTGAAACTCCCAGACTAAGGCTAGGCCCGTGGATTTTTGGTTTGTGTTGTGTCCTGGACAGCAACATTGAATGTCGATTTTTCATAGTCCAAAATATGGATAAACAGACACTATTACCTATTATAAAAAGAGAGGTAGAAATTGGTACAACAATCTATAGTGAACAATGTCTAGCATATAGTACTCTAAATGATCATGGTTTTATACATGAAACTGTAAATCATAGTTTAGACATGTTTGAACCAAACACTGGTGCCCATATTGAAACTATTAAGCCATTGTTAAAGAGGATAAACATCAAATACAACATTAAAATTAGGAAGGGCAATCCTCTAATACACCGAAAATTGCAAGAAGAATGGTGGCGATCATGCCACCCATCTCCATCGCAAATATTTGAAGAATTTTTAGCAGATTTAATGGCAACTTATGAAATGTAAAGAATATTAACAATATTAACGAATGCATAATATAAAAATGTTTGAGATTTTTATCGAACACATGGCTTAAAAATTTAAAAAAAAATATGTTGAGAAAACTAAGTACTCAGTAATATTAATATGATGTTCAAAAAAGAGTAAAATAACAAAATCAATGTATCTTACTGTCATAAATTTAATTACTTTATTAGAATACAATTGAATTTTTACAATACTCATATTTTACTATTAGTATTAACTTTCTGAAAATTTTTAAAAAATCTATTTTTTAGATTATATACTATTTACTCAATTTTAAAATAATCATTAATTATGTGTGTATAATTAAGTCAGTGTATGCAAAAATTATTAAAAAATATGATTGATATCTGATTTTTTTTATTATTATTATCCTTTGACATAAACTAAAGCTTAAGTTGGATTTAAAAAGGTATTTTTCTAATTGAAATAATTAATAGAGGTATTACATTTTTAGTGGATAAGAAAAGTCTGGGACGTGAACCCATAGCTACTCCCTGTAGCTATGAGCTTTATAATATTTAATTTGTAATGATCCAATTTTCCAATTTGAGTAGATATTAATAATGATAAGATATATTTTAAATATTTATAATGGTAAATCACATTTGACCAAATATTTGCAAGTCAGTCATGATATCACAACTTTAATATTATTTTAATGACATCTTATATATATATATAAATGCATATTATTATTATCAGTGATATGACGAAAACATTATTCAGATGAAACCGCCCCTAGCATAATATATGTGAGTGAATAGTTTGGTGACTACTGAACAATTGCATTTCTAGAATAAATATGAGAAATTAATATATTACAGCTAATAAGTAGATACCCTCTACAAATATTTAATATAATTTGTAATATTGTGGTATAAATATTTATACAGATTTTAGTCTATTGGATGAGAGTAGGAACACTGAAAACCACATTTACTCTCTCTCAAAATATTGTTAGCTGGTTTGATAATATAAATAACCTAATTGAAAAAATAAAAGATGTGTGTAACTTAAAACTTTGAACAAAAAAAAATATTACAAAATATATAAATATGTACATACAACACACATATTTTAACAAATGAAAAAAAAAATCTAATATTTAATACATAAATCCAAATAATATTACCAAAAACTTTTGCATAGATACATGCAAAATATAATACGTAGATAATTTATTGTTTACTAATTTTATTCTATACAATACTTACTCAAGAAATTAATTTTTCCTGTTTTATAAATGTAGATTGGCAATATCTTTGAAAAAACGCCATACTAACATTAATATTGTCTTCGTTGAGACAATTATTAACAATACAGAAAATACCTCGATTAATAATTCTGTGACAGTGAATTTCACCTCTGTCCTCTTTATAAAATTATCTATCAGTTTGGTCTTATTTTGAATTGTATCCTATTATCTGATGATAATATGTTCGAATTTCGCGGTTATAGTTAATAATGTGAATTTGATAACTACACGGTTTTAAAAGTCAATATTTCCGTAAGAAGGTTGGTACACGACTAAATGTGATACCGATGATAACCTCAAAACACATATGACAGAATATTGCTGTCCGTGTTTACTTTGATATTCTCATAATTCGTATAGATTCATTTGCTTTTTCCGTAGGTCCGGCCTATTAATCCGTAAGTATATACAAATTTATCCGAATTTATCGACTCGATCCTCATAAATATTTTATTTGTACAATTTAATTAAGAATCACAATAGTGTTTTAATTTCATCTGTATGAACACTTGTTTCTGTTTTATATACTAACACTATTGTGTTTCTTCTGAAAGCGTATTCAAATTTGTTACATTACTAATTTTTATATTGTAGTATAACAATGTCAATCAAGCCCAAGTATCGTCCTCAAATCATCAAAAAACGCACCAAGAAGTTCATCAGACATCAAAGTGACCGTTATGACAAACTCAAGGTAAGTTCAATTAGTAAACATAATATTCTGGCTGTTATTAATTTGGTTCTTGTGTAGCCCAACTGGCGTAAGCCCAAGGGTATTGACAACAGAGTGCGAAGAAGATTCAAGGGACAATATTTGATGCCAAATGTTGGTTATGGTAGCGACAAGAGGACCAGACATATGTTACCTACCAAATTCCGTAAAGTTCTTGTACATAATGTTCGAGTAAGTATTCAAAAGACAATTGTATACATTTTTACCAATTTCTCATATGTCTGCTTGATTTTATTTTAAGGAATTAGACATGTTGATGATGCAAAACAGGAAATATTGTGCAGAAATTGCTCACGGTGTTTCTACTAAAAGCCGTAAAGTCATTGTTTCTAGAGCGCAAGAATTATCCATCAGATTGACCAACGGAAACGCGCGCATTCGTACACAAGAGGGTTAAGTTTTGTAATTATTATTTAAAAAATAAAGTAAAAACATTTTTAATTCTGTTCTTTTTTCTTTTAATTATTATGCTATTCAATATTAAAACATAAACAATAATTTATTTAAGAAAAAAAAAAATTCATATTTTAAAGGTAACAAAATTTACAAATAAATGCCACATAGTATTTTTTAAAAAGAAGAAAAACAATTTTCTTTTAATACTGTAATATAATACTTGTTTCTAAAGGGAATCTTGGCACATTTTTGAAGTCATTTCCATCAATGGTTCCAATTCTTTTTCAATGACTAGTTCAAACTCTGTTATGAAATAATAGAAGTGCTTGTAACAAGTATTAACATGTGGCTCCTGAAAAACAAATGTTAAAACTTAGAAAATTACACACAGATCTAGATAAAGGTTATTTAATGTTTTAATAAAATTATTGAAATAAATTAAATCAAAAAATTATCTAAATAAAAATAGACGATGCATTGACAATTTAGGTTTAATTTTTGTTAATAGCTAATGAACATCAAAAGACACGCAGTAACCTTATGTTATATGTATATAGACTTAAATAATAATATACCAATTATGAGAAGAAATTGAAGCAAATTTTTTAAATTTTATAACCATTAATATTAGTTTTACAGTTTTATAAAGTATTGGTTAGCATTAACTAAAGTTTATTTTTACCACAAATTGGCAAACATGTATTAGTAAACAGACAGTAGGTAATTGTTCACACTTCACAAGATATTGCAAAATGATAAAAAATATTTGTAATGATTTTGTACAGATTAAAAAAACCTTTAATAATCTTAAGATGAGAGACATTAGATAGGTGTTTACTTAATACTTCTAAGCTTATATTTTCCTTTAAAATGGGTTATAAATACAAAAATAAGGGAGCCAGAAAAAGTTTTTCAAAAAACAAAAGAAGTCTTAATTTAATAATACAAATAATAAAGGGTATTAAAAAATTAGTAATATAATAATTTGTTTATGAATATATATTGTGAACATTTAAAGAACTTATGCTCGATTGTGGCTGATAATTAAATATCAGTGGACAATTTTTTAATTAATATTGGCCATAGTATTCGTCAACAAAATAAATATTAAACAATTATTAATTTTAAATTATATTACATACTTATATCATTAATTTTGAATTATATTCCATTACTTATTTATTCAGAAATTGACTTTTTTTTTTTTTAAATAAAAAATAATATCTGACTGCGAGATTTAAAAAATAATACTTACTGCTCCAATAGATACTATTCGATCAAAATGATGTATATAAACATGTACAAACACTCTAAATAATCGAGTCAGTATTTTTTTACAAAGTGGCATAAAACTTTTTGGAAACGGTACATCTGTTAATAATAGAAAAATAATAGTTTTAATGATATATTCATAACATTTATTGGATTGTATTAATACTGTGATGTGCCACCAAATATTAATAAATAAACAATATATGTATAAAACATTGTAAATAATTTTTCAACTAATATAATAAAGTGTTATTTAATTTATTAAATAACTGATAATTAGTTTTGGTGTTTTATCATCTTCAGGTTATTGAATTAAAACATTAAATGGTTAACCACAAACAAACAAAAGAAAAACGTTATCATTAAAAATTTAAAACAATTAAAATATATGAAACAAAATAACAAGTAGGTAATTAGAAAAATTATAGTATTGATAATAAAAATACATAATTGGTTAGCTATTTAATAATATTTTAATTTAGTAACCTGATAGTAAAAAAAAAATTAACACATTTAAATAACACTGTCAGTTTAAAATCATTTAAATAATATATTATAGGCGACCAGAACGACACAGATGAGTCTCCTCGAATTCTATGAATAAATACCCCAATTGTAGGAAATTGAAATATTGTTTAATTTGTTTAATTAATTACTGTCGTGTATCCAGTATACTGTGATATACCTTCTGTCTACACTAACAGAAAAAACAAATAATTTAATTCACGGAAAACTTTAAAACAAATTAAACAAACTTTATTTTAACAAAATTAAACTGTACAACCATTCTTAAAAAACCTATCCGTGTCATTCAGGTCACTTTAAATATATTTGATATTCCGCTGCCTTAGCTCATTTCCTTCATTGGCCTAAATTGTATGAATATCATTTAATTATTATTTGGTTGTACCTATTACAATACATAGAAAAATACCTGTAGACACGGGAAATAGGTTTTCATTATTAATTTGTGCTTCGATCCAATCCATGAGCAGTAAAACATACCGTGGTGCTGGTAGCTGTGTTGGTTTTTTATATTTGTCCTTATCGGCCCATAAATATTCAAATTTTTGACCGCCACTCATAGTTGGACAAGAAGTTTCAGTACAATAGTCACAGACAGTACCATAAATCAAATTTATACGATTAAAGAAATCGACCACTGTAAATAAAAATATGCAGTAATTAATTATTTTATTATTATGTTAAATATTTAAGAAGCTATAATTATAGCGTAAACAATTTTAAATTATTAATTTTAATTTTTTTTTTTTTTTTAACAAAAGGTAATTTACTTTATAAAAAAAAATGTAATTCTTTGCAAAAACTATTATAAGTAAAATTATTTAATGTTTAATAATTATATACAGGTTAATTTAAAATTTATGTTATAGCCATTCCATCATGTAAATTTTCAAAATAGATAAAAATGTATAATAGAAAAATTTTTGATTTATAAATATTTAAAAAATTTGTCAACTTTTGAAATTCAAATGGAAACCTAGATATACTAAACATTTCATAAATAGATAGTGTTAGTTTAAATAAATTTTGGTGTTAACATTATTGATTTCCGTCAACCCGTTGACAAGATATTACACTTTTAAATTTAGGTAGGAGAAAATTAATGGAACACTAAGTATTTGGCATAGCACAGCGAGTGGCGTTTGAATAGTGAATAATTCCACAATTCTCCTTAAATAAAAAGTGGAATATCTCGTTGATGGGTTGACAGAAAACAAACATTTCAGCTGACACCCCATTAACTTATGAAATTTTTTCTGGTTACCATTTGAATTTCTAAAGTTGACCTACAAAAAGACAATAAAAAAAAATTCACAAATTATTTTACATGTTTTCTAAACTAGCTTAATTTAGATTTTGGAATGAAAAACCTATTATGAAATTTATAGAGAATAATAATTTGATTGTGAAAGGAATTTCATAAGTTTATTGAATATGAACTATTAAAAAGTTAGTTTTTAAAAAACTAACAAAAAAACGTTTAGATCTTTTATATCAAGCTATATATTTAGAAAAATATGAAAATCTGATGAGGTTCCTTTCAAAATATTCTTCTCTAAAAATTTCAAAATGGGTACTTTTACTCTAAAATCAAAATTAAGCTAGTTTTACTTAGTTTGCATTAACATTGTTTTTGCATGTTGTTCGGTAGTTGGACTGAGACAATAGATGTCCTAGATTAAGAACAAAATAATCAACATTGAAAAAAATAATTACTAACTTGTAAATATAACTTTAACATATTCAATTTAAAAAAATAAATAAAGTTACATATTATACTCTTAAATTCATAAGTTATGCCAAATTGTCTAAATTTCATTTTAATAAAGTTACTAATACTAGCAATAGTATTTATTACATTCGTCTATGTTAAATCCAAAATTACATGATGTAAATAAAATATTTAAAGCCAACAAATAATTTAATTTTAATTATAGTGTTCGTTTCTATGTTTTAAGCGTCATATAGTTTTAAAGTTTTACTTGATTTTGTATCATTAATATTAGTGTTAAGTTTACTTTACATTAATTATTATTAATTAGTAAAATCAAAAATAGTTTAGGATTACAGGATTAGCAGGTGCTTCCTCTAATTTGAAGATATATACTGAAAATGGGTCATGGATACCTAGACATCAAATATCATCAGTGTTTTTTGATAATACATTTTAAATATAGCATGTAAAGAGCATTTATTAGTAAATGATTAACAAATTTAACCTACTTAATTTATACGGTTTAATGCGATTTAAGTGTCACTTGTAGTGATAAACTGATAAAACTAATAATGAAGAGTATAATTTCTATTTTCTTTTAAAGAGGCGAGCTAATATTTTGTCTAAGGGCACTTTATATAGCTATGTCACTGACTTCTAATTTGGGTAAAGTATATATTTATCTTTTGAAAGGATATTAATAAAATTATTTCAATATTTATGTATAAATTATTGAATTGTTGAATATTTTAAATGAACGATACATAGTGAAAGTGGGACCCAGTTTTCTAGTACAAAATATAGGATGTTATAATAATCAGTAATACCGTGAACAGCAATCCAATCGTAAAGGTCTTCACCGGGTGGCAATTTAACTGCACTTCTTAAATTAATACCAGAATTCAGTGAAGCTTGTGCATGCTTATAGAGTGAGTAACGAAGTGTGCCAGGCGAAAACTTTTTCTTTGGTCTAAAAGTCTAAAAAAAAGCTTCAAATTAATATTTTACAATAGGTATTGAAAAGTACAATAAAATACTTGCGCTTACTTTTCCTTTCTGAAAAAAATCAATAAAACCACTAAACGACATGTCGAATATTTTACTGTATATTCATTTGATAGAAACAAACTAGTATTAAATTGCAATTAAAATGTAATACAAATCAAAGAATAATTAACTTACTAAAAAAAATATAATTTTATTATCTGTCCATTTCAAAAATATAAATACTATAACATACAGAGTGATTCACCGTGTTTTATATTTTTTTTCTTTATATTATTACAATTACATCTACAGCCGTGCATAATCAAAAAGAATGACAACGGTCACCCATTACGTATTACAATCAGGGAATATAATATTAAAATTGATAACGTTATCATTTGAAAAGTATAGATAATAACAATAAAGCCACGGGGTCAGATATATCTTAATATTTTTTCAACATACTGAGATATATCTTAGTTCGTGATTTTGCCATAATATTATATCTTAGGCCATGAATGGCGTATTGACGTATGTGTGAATAAAACAATACTATATACAAAAATATTAAAAAGTTTCTTCTCTGAAGTCAGATACTCAGATTATTAATATCTGTTTTTCAATTCAATTTTACATACCTTTTTTATTCAGCGAAATTATAAATTTGCAGTATTATTTAAATTTGTTCATCATTCCATTTTTAATAAGAATATATTTTAAATCAAGTGGATAATTTTAAAATGTCAAACTTACGAAAAATTAACAAAGATCGTTTAATCGCTTTTTTGAAACACTTGGAGAGTAAAAATACTGGCGGGATATATTCAGATTGTTTAGTAAGTTATTTTCATTGTGAACCTTATCATCCATTTAGAGTTGTTTAATATTTAAATTTAAAAGTATATATTTTTACAATCTAAAGTTTCCTTTTGACAAATTGTTTTATTCTCTGTGAAAAATGAAAATATATGTTTTTATTCACATATATTTTTGATTTTTAGTGCACATTGAAGACATTATTGTATACTTCTCCAAACTTTTCTTATGACACTGCACTGAACACACACACTAATGTACAAACCTTTTTTAATTCTATTAATTTTGAAGCCATTGAACCTGAACATATTATCAAATTAAAACCAATACTCTATCAAGCAGCAGATATTGATGTGTATGCACGTTACATTAAATCTATTTTGAATAAAAATGACAAAATATGCAATCCGATTTTAATGGATATTTGGACACAATTAGGATTACGCGTATTGAAGTTACCTATATTTATTCATGAAAAGTGTATTGAAGTTAATCCTGTGATATTTGAAAAAACTATTTTGTCTGCAATATCATTGTGGCAAGTCCAAGATTTAATTGATATATGTTTCAAATCACCATTGGTTTTCCAAACTTGCTCAAGTATATTCAATGAATTGTTAATTAAATTAAATTTTTCAGACAGATTTATAGATTTTTTGGTAAATTTTATAAACAACTTTTGCTCTCTCTGTGAGGAAAACAATATAGATTTCATTGATTTCTATCCTACAAAATGTAAAAGTGTATTAATTCTGAGAGCTATTAGCAAAAGTAATTCTAGTGAACTATCAAAATGTTATTTAAATGAAGAAGTTAAAAAATTAGTTTTAAATTTTCCCAAAGAATCCATATGTCTGTTCAGTCACTTTCCTGATTTGTATTTACCAATTTAAATTATTGTGTGCTATTTAATTACCTACTCAATTGTAATACTTATCCTTCAATTATATAATTATACAATTTTTAAAATTTTTTTATGATCTATTTAACTGTTTTCTATTTTTGTATACATACCACATATTTTTATGCCTGTTTTATAATTATTTTCTTGTAATTATACTGTTGTAATTTTGTAATTGATTGGCGTTGAATTAAATACATTGTATATCAATTACCTATATTACCAAACCAAAATGTTATAAAGATCAGAAATGTGAGTGTTTAGGGTTGATGGAAATGTTTTTCACAGAAAATGACAATTCAATGTATATTATTTTATTAACTGTCATGGTATGATAATCATCTCATATATTGTATTTAGTTACACCAAATATTACACCAGCACCTTTATTCATTGATATCACAAAAATAATATACAAACATTAATCAGAACCCCCTAAACCCCCAAAGCAATTTTTAAAGGATAAAATTAGTATGTAATTTATTTAGGATAATATACTAATATATAAAACAAAAAATTTATAATAGGGAGTCGTGGGGTAGTGAAATTGTGAAATAACTTTATCATACACCATTGTGTGGTTTTTTAAGCACAAAACAGTTATAATATTATATTATAAGTGTACTTATTCTATATTTTCTATGATTAATATTTTTGTGTTTTTAAATCAATCTCTTAGAACCAATGATGCACATCAAATGGTGCTGACTGTCACTTTTTAAAAATAGTGAATTAAATAATTTATAATATTATTTTAAACCAAAAAATGAATGAAATTTATAATTTTATTTAACAACATACTTACTTAACCTTTCATCAGACGCGTACGCGTATTTTGTATGACAATTATTATAATCTTATTGTCATAACTTTTCTCTACGTGGCCTGGTTTATACAGAGGATTTTCATAATCTACAATGACGTATATGTTATTAATAGTTAATAACTGTTCTCTTTGCTAATATGTTTTACAATTTATCATTAATATATATTTCAGTCAACTCAGTCTGATCATACAAAATACATAACGCGCTTGGTTATGAAATAATTTTTTTCTATTGGCTTTATTTGTGTATAAAGAATTATTTTGTCTATATTTTATATAAATAATTAGTCAAAAATATAAAGACAGTTCATCAGAGTAGACTACCTAATAAAAGAAGAAAAAAAAAATTGGTTTTTATTAATCGTTATATTTTATATCGCATACAGTTAAATATTATAAAAAATGTATAAATTAGAGTGAAATGTTTCTAAACAGTATATTTATTAAAAATCTTTTATTTATCCTTTATTATAATAAAATATATTTAAAAAACGTCCGTGTAGTATAAAGTATGATGCACTTGTTCATGTAAAATCTAGAGGTGCACCTGCTGAAAGGTTAAAACTTGCCCCAATTATGATAGGTAGATGGGTACCTAGACATTTTTACATTTGATATTTATGTGAAAAATGTAATGTGTGCACCACTCATTGAGACAATTTTGAACTATTTATGGCTTATGCCTAGGAGTAAGCCGTACCAATTGTTTAAACTGTCCGTGCATAATCGACATAACTGATTTTTGTGATACATCCATGCCAAATTCTTTGCAAGTATCCTCAAAAATATTTTGTACAAGTGGTATTAAACTTTGGTCTAGACTAGGGAATAAATGGTGTAAAGTGTGGTCACCAAATGTTACTAACTGAAAAAATATATTATTCTTAAATGGTTCACTCCTTTCCGCACTGGTGTTCATTTGATAGATTCCCCAATCAATGTATTGATCGCTAAAATATAAAACATCAAAATGAGTGCATAAATAATTTTAAAACGTGATAGTTAGAAAAATGGCATTCAAACAAAACTACTAAAATACCATCTTCTAAGTTTTGCAACAATATTGAGCCATAGCTATAGTACTATAATCAAAAGATACACTGAAATACTATTGATAAAAATAAAAATAAAAAGAGCTGATACGGGGGCTACTGTTGTAGTTTGAAAGTTTAATTTATATCTATGCGCCAAGCTAAACCTTGTTAATGAAAAACAAACGATTCGGAACGATGTTCAAAGACATATTTTGAAATGCCGTAATTTTTTACGATTTTTGTTAAAACTTAATTTTAAAACGCTTATGAAAAAAATACTAATTAAACTCAAATTTAACCACTAATTACAACTTATAATATATCTTGTGTTAAATATTCAAGCATTTCTCTTAAGTCATATAATTTTAATACCAGATACCTACCTACCAAATAAAAATACTGTAGATACCGTTTATAGTTTGACCGGTTGTACCTATATGACTATAGTGACATATCGGCTGGAATGACCTTTAATTGGAAGTCCCAGAAAAACTCCTATTTTGTATGTACACATTTGTATCGATAATTATGACGTCTGTGTAACGATTATACAAGTGTTATTGAAGGATATTTTTGAATATTTAGTGAAACCTGTATATTAGAGGCGAAATAATAAGGTCCCGCAAAAATACAAACAAGGTTTTTTGATTTGTTAATAACGGACTCTTTCTATTACAGACATGTACAGTAATATTTTTCTCCGATACCTTGAAAATAGACAACTATCTTAGTTCAAAATCAAATATATTTCAAACGTGTATACATACATACCAACCATCACGTTCTATTTTGAATACCGATTATGACAGATTACAATATTCAACAATAAGGATAAAGTTAATTGGGAGGACAGAAAGACGTATAAAACATAAAGACTATTCAGTGCTTATTTCGTTATTATACGATGGTGTACATTTTTCTCTGTTCGTTTTAATTTTAGATACTGAGAAAAGCGAGAAAAATATTTGTTTTACAATGATGTTATTTTTTTAATTTTTATCTGTAAACAACTTCTACCAAAAATCTTGCTCCTATATATCATGTGAAATGTTTTTTTTTTTTTTTTTTGAAGGAATTTTTTTGATTTTCCAAGCGGTTTTTATACATAATAATTGGAAAAAACGGGAAAATTTACGAAATGTATTATTTTCATTTTTTTTTACAAAAGTATTTGTAGATACTTGAAATTTGGAAAGAAAACTTATGTTTACCTTTTCTAGACGTGGACAATTTTTCATTATTTAGCTATTTTTGAGCTATTTAAAAGCTTTTCAAAAAATTTCTAATGAAATCATTGCGCCATAATTAGAAAAAAATCGTCTTTTTTACTTTTTCCTCAATTATTATGAAAATTACTTTGGATATCAAAATATGACTTTCTTTATCTGTAGCTAAATATAAAATGGAACAAAATCGATCTCATGTTATTTTTCAATTGGAATAGAGTGGGGCAGTTTTGAAAATACATAGACGCACTGAACTCTATACATAGGTACAGTGGTCGCCGCTTATTAGACTCACTTAGGGACAAGACCATTTGAATCGATTAACCGAATGAGTCATTAAGGCGGTAAAATCCTCAACAAAATAATACGTATGTGGAAAAATTGAAATTTTAAAATATTCATTGAGATTAATTGAATGCATAAAATGGAAATTAATTATGTATATTATGTATTTAAATAACAAATTGTACATAATTTATTTTTGATATAAAACTAAACAAAGTTAACTAAGTTTGCCTAATTTTAAGGTCTAAAGTTTAAAAGTCTAATTTTTCACCCGCATTCATATCACTGCGTTTATTCATAGTAACACGGGACAAGCTGATAATATGTACACCAGTTTCTCAGGTGTATAGGTTTAAAAACCAACGACCGCTTGGGTAATTGGTTCATTATTGACTTATTGTACTTACATTTTGGTATCGCGAAATGATAATTTAGTTATTATCTCTATGATAACGATGAAATACGGGTACCATAAGCTTGCGTCAAATAGCATGTTTTTTTTCTATTTCTGTTACTTATCATATTGTTAAATGATTCCATTAACCGGTGTAGTAAAGCTAATAAACGAATATTTGTCTGTGTGTTTGTCTGTTTGAGTCCAATAGTCCAATAGTCAATTAACCGTGACTATCCATTAAGCAGCGACCACTGTAGTATAATACTAAAACCTAATAGATAAAAAATCACGATGGGTTCCGTATTCATATACCACTTGGCCCCTGGCCCGAACTTGGATATGGTTTGTATAATTATGTGGTTCGAAGTATTTAAAATAACGCAGTATGGTTTGTCCGAACTCGTCGATACGGCATGATAATTCATAGGTATGTCATAATTTATTCCGTCTAATATATACCGTTGACATTGATAAAATATTGGTCTCCGAATACGTAGCCTTGTTAAACATTTTTTTTTCTACTCGTCTATTGAGCGGACATTCTAAAGTGGTAGACTAAGGTGATCCCTATTTTTGAATATTATTATTTCTGATTACCGAGCCCTCCTATTTTATTCCTTGCCGTATAAAAATAATCTGTGTGAAACTTAGTCATGATAACTCACCTCTTTCCCGTGTCCCAAGATGGTTAAAAATGAAAAAATAGGATACTTTTGTGGTTTTTCACAAATAATTCAACAACTATGTCACTGATCATAAAATGATGAAAGACTTGTTAGTAACTCTTCTTAATGTCTATATAATTTATTATTATTCAATTTACTGTAAAATCGGTTTTTTCCAAGAAAAATTATAAAATACAAAATATTTCACGTATTTAGCAAAACTGATTTTTTTTAAGGTTATTTAATTGTATTTGTCAAATGGCTGAATATATGAAACCGTGTTTAATATAAAAATGATATAAAATTTAATTTCCTGAAAAAAGGTTATTAATAAAAACCTTAAAAGATATTCTTCCATTCGGATGGATCCATTTCCATTATCTCGTATTAATTTCGTAATCTTCTCGAATCTTTTAAATATGTTTGAAGATTACTGATTAGAATATATCAAAAAAACATTAAACATTTTTATTTAGAAATGGCATCTACCATATTCGATACGCTTGATTAATGGTTTCTACTTGACAAAGTTCAAAAATCCGAAAGCCTGTTACGTACTATCCAGTGAGATGGATGGCCAAAGGAATTTATTATTTGAAGATGTTTTTATTAAGATCGGAATTGAAAGTGTCTGAGACAGAAGGAAATGCGCTGAGCAGAATTCAACAAGTCTTCAACGTTTTCTAACTTTAATACTTTAATACCACTGGTAGACACTTCAAAATATAGAATAACGATTTTGTTCCGCGAGTAATCTTTTTCAACGTATTTAGTTATATATTATACTAGCCGTCCCGCCAGATTTTGCCCGTACAATAAATGCTTATCTTTGTGTGAGATTAGGTTACTATAGGCAAATAAAAAAAATTATAATCGTTGTTTTCCTTCCCATTTTAACCTATACAAAGTTTCTCTTGCTAGCATGGTTAAAAACGTTTTAGTTTTTTACCTTTTTATTTAGCTGTTCAGCGGTGGTCTAATTTTCGTTGCAATTTAACCTGCTAATTCCCTGTTTTAATCCTTGTCAATATTACTGAAGTAAACCGTTATTGCCCATAAGGCCTTAAACGTTTGAAAATACTTTTTCTTTAATTTTCATTTCAAACTTATAAGAATTAATTATTTAATTAATATGGTTGCTTCTAAGTAATGAAAAAGATGTCCTAGGATAATAGGGACAGGTGCAGCCACTGTTATTAGTGAGAAGTTGGGAAGGTAGGATATAGAGAGTATATTAATTTGTCTCTGTAAGCAACGATAAACCATTGCTTACTAAAAGGATTCTGAGCGAAGTTCAGTTGATAGTGATGCTTTGTCAACAATAGATATGCCATATTATGGTAAAACAATTAAATTATATATTTATTTTAGTAATATTTGTTTAAAATTGTACTAATATATTTCGTACATTTTTCCCGTTTTTTTTCTTTCGGTTTTTCACATTTGATGAGAAAACTCCTGAGAAAATCGAAAAATGACCAAAATACCTCTGCACATCGATTTCCTTTCAGAAAAGATGCTACACATAAAAATCCAAGCAAAATCTGTTCATGCAACAAGATTCTGTAGACAACTTCCATAAAATAATAAAATAAACATCTTTGTAAAACCATAAGTTTCTTCGCTCCACTCAGAATCCTAAATACTTATAAATTATTATTTTGTATCTGGTCCAACCTACTATGGTTTAGGTTTACTACTTCTATTGATCAGATCAAGGATTTCAATGGTTTAAAACCTCCGGACAATACGGATCATTTTACGAAAAACCGCGTAAAAATTGGTCTAGTAGTTTCAGAGAACATGCGTGATAAAGATTTCCATTTAACATTTATATGTATATAGATTAGAGATAGATAAACAGAGCCGTTTTAATCCATTTTGCGTCCGAAGGCATCAATTAAACGCTTTCTCTTTAGGTCTTACTTGGGGATGATTTGAGGGGTTAATCCCTCCCAAATTTGTGTTTTTTTTTTTTTTAAATTTATTCAATTTATATTAATTTCAACAAATGATTTCTACCAAATAGGATTCTTCCCAACTCTTGAATTTTTTTCTCTATACACACTACACACTAACATATTACGTTACTAGGTAGTATTTACCTATTTCTATTTATCAAACAATATTCAACATTACTCTAAGCATTATAAAGCAAAGTGTTTGAAAATAAAGCAAACAACAATAGTGGCTTAATAATAGTGATATTATTGTTAATGGTGTATCGAGTTTTATATTGAGTCAGGCGCCCAATCATTTTAAAAAGGTTTGAAACCAAGGTGCCCCAAATGCCCCCTCTCCTTCTTAAACACGGTCCTATAGTAAATTATATTATATACTACAAAGATAATTTATTATAGTATTAAATTGATTTGTTTATTACTCGATAAAATCTCCATCGTGGAAGTTTTCTGGTAAATGATGTGAAACGCTGAAGCCAAGAAACACAAATACAAAATTGCATGTTAATATGATGAAATACCACATGGCACAGACATTAGAGATGGTCATGCGTCCAGAAAATACCATTATGACTGGTATGACGAAAATTAAAAGGTCGGCTTTGTCATTTTTTCGCTTTAATGTCCTAAAATAAATATATAGGTATAATTTCGCTCTTGCAGCAAGGGTGGATTCAGGATCTTGTTTATGGAGGGGGCACTTAAATTAGAGAAATTTCTACTATACTGCATTTTTAATTACTAATGAAATATAACTACAATACAATTATAAAAAAATCATACTATACGTATATAGTATTGTCAATATTGTGTACATTATTATGAACAAAATATTTGTATTTAGTACGTCAATGTAATATGTAATATGTATAATAAATAAATACAAATATAATTGTTTTGATTTGTTTTTTTTTTTTTTGCGAACTTGCCCCTAGTGCTCCTTCCCTAGATCCGCCCTTACCTTGCAGTATTATCAGTAGTATTTGCTCTAATATATAACAAAAATTAATATTATACCTGGTAATAAATATCACGGTCCCAGTGAAAATGTATGCGATGGGTGTGAGAAAGGGCAACCAAAGAACGATCCACGGTTTGTCTTTTGTCGGAAACCAATGAATAAATGGATAGAGTAGTGTCATCTCCAAGTCTTGCACAGTGTTCGTGTAAACATGGTGGCTCACCACATGCGATATTCTCCATTCACTACAAGAACATAATTTTTATTAAACCCATCATGCAGTGGCGAATTTAGTAGAAGACTGTATCCATGAATAATATGTAACTTTTTTCGACATATCTATTTCATATTACTGTTTTGTAACTACGACCAGATATATTATACAGTGGTTCCCGACCGTTTTTATTCTACGCTCCCCTTGTAAATTATTTATTCATCATAAATCTGCTATATGATATAAACTTTACATATACCGATATCCCTTCTAAAATATTGTTACTTCTTACACTGTAAAGGACATACAAAAGTAAAAAGAAAAGTAAAGTAATGGAGACGGGTGCAACTTGTGGTGTAGGTGGGAAGTTGGGAAAGTAGGATACAGACGAGAATTTAATGTATATCTGCAATAAGCAACGATAAACCATTGCTTACGAAAAAAACAATTCTAAGCGGAGTTCAGTTGACAGTGATGCTTTGTCAACAATATATATGTCATAGTAAAATAAGTAAGTAGACTATATATATTTTCTTTAATAATATTTGTACCGATTTCCCCGGTTTTCTTACTTTTTTCCTGATTTTCCTATTTTTTTCCCAGATTTTCCCATTTGCTGAAAAAACTCCGGAAAAAATCGAAAAATGACATTTCCAAAGTACCTCCCTAGTGAAATTTCCTTTAAAAAAAATTATTATCATTAAAAGTTGGAGCAAAATTGCTAGTATAAAAGTTGTCCACTGGAAAAAAAAAAGGGGCGTAATATATTTTAACTAATATCTACATTTCTTATATTTTCCCGTTTTTTTTCAGTTTTTCAAATTTGATGAGAAAACTCCTAAGAAAATCGAAAAATGACTTTCTTAAAGTACCTCCACATACCGATTTTCTTTCAAAAAAGGTGCTACACATTAACTCTATAAGTAATATTAGGCGTTCATAAGTCGTCGTTTGTCAAATTACGAACTAGTAATAGGCGGTCATTGAGCTACACAATGTGTGTTCACGATTATATCCTAATTATGATTCATATTTAATGAGCTGATTGGCATATCGTCTATTATAATATGTTTTGTCAAAAAGTGCAGTTTATCTTTTTATTGGAGGGTCCATACATAATAAATGATTTCATGGCACGAAAAAATTCAAATTTTCAAGTTATGAAAGTTTTTAGTATACCGGTTTACGATGTATTTAAAATACCATCAGTCGGCTCACTATATATTTTGTGAGTAACTACTCACTACAAACCCTTTTATAGTGCCTTAGCTCTAGCTGCCACTCATCTGCTATATTGCATCACGACAGCACAACTACCTGACCACAATCCGAAGACTAACCGTGGTTATTGATCTCCTGGTGCATGATTTCAGTTTTCAGTGTTACAGCCGTCAAAATCTCCTTTTATTATAAATATCTTTGTCCTCTATAGTATAGGTTAGGTTTTATATATTAATATTGATAGCTAATCGAGTGCTAATATGTTTAATTATCTTTGAAATGCATATAACTCACCGAACGGAAAACAAGCTCAGCTGCAAATAATACATCCTCCAGTTATCCTTGAGATGAGTGAAGTTATGACTAGCTACAGAACCTAGCGCCAGAGCGACACCGGTTATCAAAGCCAATAGATAATTTTCCGTTCGGGCGACCGCAGCGCACATGACGAGGGTGACGAAGAAACAACAGTCGATCACCATCACGGACTTTAAGGACAAACTGTTTGGCAACTTGGTGTATGCTAACTTCTTGGCGACCCTAGACTTTAACACGTTGTAAAATCCGTCTGGTTTGAATGTAAAAGGTGACTTCCTGGGTGAATCCGCCGGACGTACATAAAATCTATGCATCACTTCCGTCGCTGCTTTTCCATTCAAATGGTACGTTTCAAATAACTCTGTGATGTCGGTACCCTATAATCATTTTAGATACCCATCATAACATTAGATATATATGATATTTAAAATCGACGGCCGGCGCTCCCAGTGATATATTTAGAATATATGCGCCCCGGAACGAAACTATTTTATTGCGATCCCCTTCCCAACAAAATATTTCACCCATTAATATTTACCTCAGACCTTCTATTCTAATCTGTGGCTTTTTAGGAAATGCATCAATATCTAGACTCTCTAGATCTAGAGCTAGACAGATAAAATATTAATTAAAATTCGATTACAATTTTTTTTACACTTCAGACTACCCTCCAAATCTGAATAAACTGTGCGCAGGAATTCAGTGTCAAAAAACCCACTAATTATACAGATACGTTTTTTATTTTTATGTATTAATGTGTCTTAATAAATTCTAATTCAGCGGTTCTCAACCTCTTTGAGACCATTACCCAAAAATCAGGTTAGATATTAAAAAATACCCCTCTATTCCATCCTCACAAAAAAAACTATTATAATCGTAGTACACGTGACTGACGGAGAGTTAATAATAATAGGTATAAAGTGCATAAAATAAATAAAAATAGTTTGGTTAGGTAGGTTTACCCCTCAAAAACTCGTGTTTTACCCCTTGTGGGTAATTACCCCAAGGTCGGGAACCACTGCTCCAATTAAATAATATATCATATTTGTGTTAACAACAATAACAATAATAATAATGCGCATTAATGTATTAATGAAATAAAGTTTTTCTAAATTTAAGACATATTATGTTATTATTATGTATTATGTTTTTAATGCCTACCAATTCTTAATGAAATTGTTTAGTAAATTAAATTAGTCATTTTCTGTATTATAGTGTGTTATTTTTTTATCTTAACCATTGTGTGGCTCTTTTAAAATCATTGTTTTGCAATGTTTTTAAAAAATGGTTTATCAGTTATCAATGCCATGAAAAGGTTCCCGACCTCTGCTGTAGAAGGTAACACGATTCGTTTATGACTTTAGTATCACATACCAGAAATTTAATATTTATTAGACTAGACCACATGATTATTTTATGCGACAAAAAAGAACAACACTTATTTGAAACATTTAGAACCTACCTCGCACAATGACAAAGGATAGGAATTTACACGTCAAATGCAATAATAAATATTTATATATTATAATTGTTTTTTCCGAGGGTTTAAAAAAAATATATACACGTTTTAACAAAATCGGGTACGCCTACTTTCGTTATTTCCAACCATTGCGGTCCTCCGGGGTGTTTGTGTATCCAATGCCGAAAATCATACAACCCGTCGTGAATTCTCCACAACCCTTCTGTACCGTCGTCCTTTTGACGTGCTTCGATCCAATCGTCTGCCGACCTGATGTATCTGTCCGTACTCGATGCATTATTCCACACTGACCAACTACTTGTTCTGGGTGCCATAATTGATTAAAGTATTAATCGTGTACCGTATGGATGGTTGGTCCTATCACTGTAAGGTGAGGGTGAGGACAACGGTGATTATGAAGAAGACATTATAAGTACCGTACGATGTTAAAATCGCGGGAAAACAGAACCAAGTAAAATCTGTAAAACATTTGAATGACCGTCACGACGCGCCGGCCATAGCGTTGTTATTTAATTGTATAAATGCCTCTCCTTCAAATTTAATACCTATAAATACGAAATACAAATTTTTTTCAGTTAATTATACACGTTCATGTTTTTACATCAACACTTAACTATATTTTGAATACTACAAAAAATAACCGTTTATTTAATATATAATAATATGATATTTTCGACCTCGGGTAATATCAAGGTTATATTATAATGTAGTTAGATTTGAATCTAAAATTTATAAATAACATGAATGCCCAGTTAATCTGAAATTACAACAGAAAATGAGAATCTCAACAATTTTTAACATAATTTTGTATAATTAGATATTTTAAAGATACCTAGGTATATAATCATTAATGAAAATAGAACTATGTAAGGTGCGTACTTATACATAAGCATAATTCATATGAGCACCTACGAATTTATAACACACGTGCAATTTGTTAAATTATTTGTGCGAGTATAATTTCAATTTTCTCATCCATCTTTATCTCACGTAAGTTAATTGCACACCTATTATTTAAATTGACCGCCCCCCCCCCAAAAAAAAAAGCCGGTGTATACTAGTCGCCTCTCATCATTATTGTAAATAAAAAGTTGATAAACACTAATTATTTCCCATAAAAATAAAGCAGTGGTTTGTAAATTAAAATTATGAAGTTTTAATATACCTAATATTATTTATAAATTTATTGTTGAACATATTTGATTAGATATTTAGAAATACATATACGATATTCTTAATACGATTGGAAAACATCAGGCTTCGAAATAATATAATTGGTCAATAAAAAACAAAATATGTACTTATGTAAAAAAAGCGGTGGAAGACATAAGCGCCAAAATGAGATAAGAAAAAAAAAATTGTATCGTACAAAGCTCAAACATTCTAGGTACCTGTGTGCCACGGTTAATAGATAGGTATGCGAGTATACTGCAATAATAAATTTCTGCGTGATATTAAATTTAGAACTATATCATCGTTCAAAAACTCCAAACGTTTAATCTCAATCGACAAATTTATTATATGATATTTTTAAAGATCGAAAAAAAATCAACCATTTTATTAAAATTATAATTATTTTTATTTATTGTTACGTATATTTTTTTATTTTTTACAATTTTAAAATGTTTTAAATACCTACTTATAGAATACATTAATTTTGGCGCAAATTATATGGCATTTATGGACCTTTGGCGCTTATGTCATAGAGCCAAAAAAGGATGAACATATTTTGCAAGATGGGTGGCTCACTGTTGTAGGTAAGAAGTTTGGAAGGTGAAATTTAATATCTATAAAATCTGATAACGAAAAAACGATTCTGAACGGAGTTCAGTTTATAGTGTTGCTTTGTCAACACTATGGTAAACTAATTATAAAGGTATTATACAGAGTGTATCAGAAAAAACTGGCCAACTCTACGGATTGTGACTCTATATGTGGCTATAAGAATTGTTTTTTTGAAATTTTTGTTTTCTTATCAAAACGTTGGTTTTACCCGTTTTATTTGTAAAATATCATACAAAATAAAAATAAACCATTCCAGAGAATTTATCGCAAAATTCTCTTACGAAATAAGGGTCACTCGATTATTTCCAAAAATAATCATTATCACCACTATTTTTGGCTTATCGTGTCCAAAATCGTAATTTTTGTGTGACACATGAATTTGTATGTAAATTTGTCAGGGATTTCAATGGAATAAATTATTTTTTATTTATGCGTCAATTTAACGATTCTATCCGTAAAATACGACTCATTTGAGTGTAAATTAAATATTAAAACTTTATTATTATTTGGATAATTAATAAAAAAGTAAAATGTAAAATGTTATACAATTTCGTGAAATATGAATACATTTAAATTTAATAATTCTATGTTTAATTAGCCATCGTTAAATCTTGAAATATAATAAACTATTCCTACCATCAAAACGTTAAAAAGAATTTATTAATTTTTGTTTTCTTGACCTTGATGTTCTTTATAAAAATGTTTATATAATTTTTCATTGCTTAATATTTAAACTAGATAAATACTCATATGTAGTTGTTATATTTTTAAGCTAATGGAAATAATATAAGTGTATAAGCCCCTACGCACACCAATGGTAGTAATACCTCCCTAATTTCCTACCTCCCGACGACACAGTGTAATATTTACAGAAAATGCCTGTAGGTACCAACAATTTTGAACACCATGGCTGAAAGTATACCACCTACTTATAATACTTGTTCACTGTTTTTTGTAAAAATGTCTGAGATATGGTGATTTTCAAGTGGTTACAATGTTTATTTATACCTTTTTACGACAAATATCGTTGATGAACTACTATTATTGTACGTTTACACTGTTACTGCTTCGTGTTTATAAATATGTCGATAACAAATCGATACGGACGGTGTATATTGTACACTTATATACAATCTACATAATTGCCCGTGAATCGTGATTCTAACCAGTTGACCTACGTCCACACAAGTGGCTATGTATAATCAGTATTTTATAATGTTAGAGATTACCAACAGTCTCTAAACCAGTTTTATGTAATTGTAAGTATACAACGAAATTATAATAATGTACAACATGAACTACGTTATTTTACGTATCTAGCATTTTTTTTTTTTTTTTCTGTTCTATCATCGTTCGTACATATTCGAAAATAAAATACGAGTATAACAATCATTGCGTATTATGGATTTTGAAAAGTTAATACTCGGAATAGACGTGGGAACTAGTTCGGTTAAAGTGTCACTGTTGGACAGCCGTACTGTAAAGTCGGTTTACGCGAAATCCGTTCTGACAAAAGCGAAAATAAATAATCCTAGCCATGAAAAAGGCGACGAACAAGACGTGATTAAAATTTTCAAGTCTACACAAGAATGTTTAGAATTGGTACCGAGACATTTTATGAAAGAGGTACCTCATTATAATACATCAATACAATTGATAATTAAATATTTTTGTGTTTTTTTTTTTTCTAATTAAATATAATAGTTAACTACCTGATTAAAATTATAACGATAAATAGACATGTATTGGAAAATTATTAACTAATTTAATTATACAATTGAGTATAGATAGGTAGATAACTGATTTGATGACAGATTTGTCGACAATCGCGGACTAAGCATATCTAGCTGGGGGTACAATAGATGATAATATAAGAATGGATAGGTCATTCCTATAATATTAATATAATAAGGGGCCGCATTCCGAAATGCGAATGAGAGACAGACTGCTTATAGCGCTCTCATTCACACAGCAAGGGGTTTTATCATTAATATTATATTTCACAATGATAACTCAATCAATGTAGTTGTATTTGAATTTTGTTTATCAAAACAATTTCAAGTATTTTAATTTAATATTGATTTTTATTCGAATTTTGTATATCAAAACAATTTCAAGTTGATATTTCAATAAAATATAATATTATTATCGTATTTTTCACGAAATTAGAAAGATTAAAGATGATATAAAGAAAAATCGTACCAGGGATAAATTAACAAAATGTATCCATTTCAGAAATAAATAAATTCAATTGAGTACTTACTATTATTATGCCAAATTTTCATGAATCAGAATTGTGATTTATATACATTTTTTTTTTTTCTTATAGCGTATTATGTATGTATAAATTATTATTTATTATATATGATTATAAAGCACCGAAAATCAAACTAAAGATTTCGCCACACAAATTTGTTGCATTTAGATTTAGCACAAGTCATTTTAAAAATTTCAATGATCGTCGTGTATGAGGGGCATACAACTAATTAAATAAGATTAACACAGGGGCGTCATTTCACATTTGTTTATCGGATGCAAAACCTATAGATACAGAAAATTGAAATTAACTTGAAATTCACTCGCGTAGCACATCAATCACGAAATCGGTAATTTCCATATTTAACTCTATTTTTGATCATCACATATTCAAATGTATAATACAATTCAAAAACGTAGGTACTCCAAATTAATTTCAATATTGATTATTTATAAAACTAAAATATACCAAAATTACCTGCTTAATAAGTTTATTATCAGAACAAATAGTATACCTATTATGTACCTATAGTAGATATATAATAACAGAATAAGTTAAAACTTAAGCATATAGGTACTTATACATACTATTAGATATTTTAATTTTTAAATAAGCTTAATTTAATTACAAATAGGTACTTCTGTCCAGGAATTTAAACAGTAAAAAAACTCAACAGTATTATAAAATATATAAATACGTAAGCATGGATTTTATAGTGCATTAATGAAAAACGTCTACTCATTAATTTAGCAAAACTTTCATCGGTACTATAATACTAATATTATATTATTTATAACGGTGTTTATGTCTTCTGAAACTGTTAAAATTATAAATCATAATAAACAATTTTTGTGAAATTACAAAATGAGCGTTTTAGAATATAAATTATATGAAATTAACTACATCTACATATTTTAGGGGTGCTAAAAAAAATTAAAAGGTAACCTTGTGTCCTGGAAATGACGCCCCTTGATTAACATTTAGCATACATATTGTATAAGTACATATGAACTTACAAGCACATTATTGGGCCTCATATGAAACTTTTTCCAGATGATTTTTGATTAAAACCAAGTAGGTATTTTTTTTTCCCCTAATCGTTGTTTACCGTATGTTCTACGAAGTTATAATTGAGCAGGTACCTACATAAGTATCTGATGGCTAGATAGCTGGATAAAATTTACTAACTCTATAGAAATTGAAATTTATAACAACGACAAAATTATTATCAAATTATTCTATTAAGGTAAAAGCAATCGGCGTTTGCGGTCAAATGCATGGTATAGTGTTCTGGGACGAACGATTCATTCGACATTTTTGGTCCGGCGAATTTTCGATTGAAACCAAAAAAATTGTGTCGAATTTATATACTTGGCAGGACGCTCGTGCGGATAAACAATTTTTAGCCAAACTGCCAAGGCCACATTCTCACTTGAAGGCTCACTCAGGTTACGGATGCAACACCATTTTTTGGTTACAGGAATATCAGTGAGATAAATACAAATGCTTAGTAAAATACCTAATTAAAAAATATGTACAATACAAAACAAATAGGTACCTAGGTATTTATATGTTTTGTTTATTTATATCTGCTTTCAGACCAGAAATATTGAGTAATTATAATCGATGCGGTACAATTCAAGATCTAATCGTATCAGCATTTTGTAATCTTAAGACACCCGTTATGTCCACTCAAAATGCGGCCAGTTGGGGATATTTTGACACAACTGATTGTTCATGGAATATAGACTTGCTGCAAAGTGCACATTTTCCGGTAAATCTTTTACCATCAGTAGTACAACCAGGAACAAATGCCGGATCATTATACAATACGATTTATGATATAGCGAAAGGAACAGTAGTCGGTAAATGTTGAAACAAATACATAGTATATTATATGAAATAATATTTAATACATGCACAGGGTGATGAATCTATCATGAAATACTAATTATTTCGGAAATTTATTAGTAATTTGTTTTAAAGAAACAAGCAACTCTACAATTTTAATTATTTTTTGGGGGTAAAATCCTTACTTTTAATTTTAATATAGATCAATATAGATTTTAAACCTTAAAAATAAGGATGGCAAAAAACAGTATAAATGTGAAATTGTAGAGCTCCATGTTTCTTTAATGTTTTATAAAACAAATTACGAATAAAGTTAATACTTTCCAAGATAATTAGTGTCTTAAGATTGATTGATCACTCTGTATTGATCAAAATGTATACCGAAAAAAAAGATGTTGCCCTTGGTGATTTGCAATGTTCAGTAATGGCTACATTAACATCGGTGAAAGATGCTGCAGTTATTAACATATCCACTTCTGCTCAAGTCGCATTCGTGACCAATTATATTGGGCAACAACATGGTAAAAAACTGTTAGAAGATATAATTTTAATATTAATACTAATAATAATATAATTAGGTATATAATGTTATATCAAACTAACTAGATGGCGTTGAATACTTTCCATATTTTGACAACAGTTATTTGGTAGTAGCGGCCTCATTGAATGGAGGAAATGTTTTAGATTGTTTTGTTAAATCCGTGCTTGGTTGGGTATCAGATATTGGATTAATTATAAACGAAGGTAATATATCATTTTTAGTAGAACAATGAAAATTATAATAATTATATTATACACATTAAGATGAATTGTGGAATCGATTGATGAATCTATCATCTGATGAAGAAGCAACATCACTTGTAGTGAACCCTATAATATTTGGTGAAAGACACAATCCAACAGTGTTTGGATCATTCGTAAATATTACAAACAGTAATATGACACTAAAAGAATTATTTTCTGGATTTTGCAAAGGACTAGTACAAAATTTACTGAAGTAAACTAAATTATGTCAAAATAATATGGTAGGTAATAAAACAAGTTTACTATTTCACCTTAGGATGATGCCCAGAGAAATGTTGCTAGAAGCTGGAATTCAAAGAATCATAGGATCTGGATCAGTCATACCCAAAAATCACATCATAAAAAAAGAAATAGAAAATAGTTTTAATCTTCCATTATATGTAGAAAATACTGAAGATTCAGCTTTTGGTGCTGCTTTATCAGCATTCAAAACAAATAATTTTTTGTTTATTTAGTAAGATAAATTCTTTCTTTATGTTAAATAATTGTTATTGTAAAAAAATATAAGTTATTAAAAAAAAAAAAAAAAAATGTATTATAATTGTATTCAGCCACTAATAATAATAAAATATCCACAAAATATTATATTGTTTTATGTGGTAGTCACTGTTGCCCGCATTATTATTATTATGTTAAAATATTAGATATTAGATTATAGGTACGTCTACTTAGAAAATTATGTGGTTGTAACAGGGGCAGTGCTCTACTGTTGTGGGCTGATATATTTATTTTATACAGATTATAAAAATATTATTGTAAAGATCACTCTTCTCTGGCTTTGAGTGGAAGGCCTAGAGAATGAGTCTAGTCAGTGTTTAAATAAAGTTTTGTTGCATATTTAGAAAACTCGTTTTGTACTAATTGTTTTTACAAGTTATTAGTATAAAAAGTATAAAAAAGTTAAAATACAGCTTGTGATTACTGCCATATCCTTCCAAGGAAGAACCTTATGTACATAACACAATCAATGAGGAAAAACTATAATATTTTTACAGAAAAAGTGCTACACTTAAAAATTGGAGCAAGATTTTTAGTAGAATTTTTGTACACAGTATATATAAAAAAAAAAAAATTAAAACTGATACATTCCTTGCTATACTCAGAATCTAAAATGTGGTTGCTGCATCCATTATGTGTATTGTGTTTTAGCTTTGATTGGGTATGAATTATTTAAAACCAGAGGATCTTACAAATGCACTTAGATTGGTATTATCTTGAATAAATTTTCTTTAAATGATCAGTATAAAAGACGACAAATTTATTTTACATTTATATTAATACAAATTGATCATATATAATTTTTTAATTTTATTACAAACAATATACTTTTATTGAAATAATAAGTCAATATGTATCTAAATAAATACAATATTAAATGATGAATTACGTTTCCACTTTTCATAATTGATGCAATTCTGAAACAGAAAATTAATCCATAAGTAATAATTAAATATTGAATACTTATTATATATAAAAACTTATAGCTATAACTAAATCATATATAACCTTTTTTTATATATATTTATTTATATACAATTCCAATATTAGATATTTATTTTGCAGGTATGTAAACATAAGTATAATGATTAATACAAATACAAATGGTTTTATCAATATTAACAGTAAATAATTCAGTTTATTTACATAAAATTATCCATAACAATGCATATTATTTTGATTGACAATGATGCATGTGATAATTTTAAAATGTTTTACCAAATTTACCAAAACTTACAGTCTTGTTTCTAAAAATATAAACTGTACACAATCAGATTTTATTGGTAAGAATATCCTAGACAATTAAATAATTACAACTAATATACATTTATTCAAACAACAAATAATGAACATTTTTGTAAATTAAAAAGAATAGATAAATTGTAGTTATACAATTTGAATGTATGAACAATCTATGTACTATACAAATAGAAATATATTATTTAGTTGAGGTAACTAGTATTTTAAAATTGTATTAGAATATATTTGATATATACAAATTATTAAAATATTGCAGTGCCATTTTATAGTCTATATTCAATGCATGTTTACTCCTCCGTCAAAAAATCTTCAAGAGCAAATAAACCAAACTTTTCCCAGTTATGTCTCCCCATACCAACAAGATTATTTCTTATCAAAATATATTTCTTCAACTATTTAGAATTTATTTAATAGTTGTCACACAATAACCAAAATCATATTCTACTGGGTGTCCAATAGACTTTAAAAAGCACGGACTGAAAATTACCTTGTAAATGCCCTACTGTTTCTCTTATAAAGAAGAAAATAGTAAAATCTGCATAGAAATTAAAAGAAAAAATTAACTATCTGAAGTTATTTCTCCAATATCAGTATATCATTATTGAAACATTATATATATTTATATAAATTTGTATATTACTTTATGAACTGCTATTAAGATGCATTAATTGTTCTTGTAATACATATGACATCGTGCCTGGTGTAAGAGTGCCTTGTTTCAACATTTCTTCACGAGTTTTACCTCCTTTAGCTTTAGGGGTTTTCAAAAAACTGCATTCCTTATTTAAATTGTTAAGAACTCCAAAAGCACCAGTCATTCTAGTATAGTTTTTTTCTTTCGCAGTATTATCTTCTTTCACAGTTACCACACTATTGTCTAAAGCCTGAGATTCATCACTGTCATTTTTTGCATCATAAACTTTCTTCAACAATTTATCATAGTTTTCGGTAACTTTGTTTTCTAAAACACCAAAATTTTTTTCAATTTCTAGTTCAATTTCTTTGAACCGGTTTCTTATTAAATTACAGCATTGTAATTTAGTTTGTCGGATGTCGTCAATTTCATTTTTCTTTTGTTGTTCAATCTCTTCAGTCAACACAGGCGTATTTAATGTTTGAGTTTGGCAATCAGTTTGATGAATTCTTTCCTTTGGTATAGTACTTAAATCTATTAAATTTGGAGTTTTAAATTCATTCAAATAATTTTTGTCGGTTGAATATACACTAGTTTTTTCTTGAAATATGTTAGTATTTTGGTTTACAGATTCTAAGTGACGGCTTAATAAATATTTAGTGGCAGAAGATAATGCATTGTTAAAATTTACTTTTTCTAATTTAGTACAAGGTGAATCGATTAAAGAGTGGTACAGTTCATTAGATTGTAATACGGGTTCACTAAATTCCCTCTTATGTTTATTTATATCAAGGAGTCCAGTTTTACTAATTGGTGATAAAAGTATGTCATCCTTATTTTTCATAGATATATATGTTGATTTTGGTACTTCAAAAGTGTTTTCTTCATGAAGAGTATCATGACTTTTTGATTTCGACGAAGAATAATGGAAATTATTAATCTGAAAATAAATAAAAAAATATTATTAATCATTGGCTATAAACTATTTATATACCCCTAGTATACCAACCTCGTGTAATGGCTTCAAAGTACTACGTCTCAATAAAAAAGGTTCATCATCATTAAATAAAGCTTTTTTGGCGCCATTTGAAACTTTTTCTTCTAAAATATATACATACCAAACAAATAAATAGATAATACAAATTATTGAAATTAATGCAAAGTCAAATATAAAAATGTACCTTTATATTTTAAAATATAAGTAGATAATAGATACTTAATAAAAATTATTATAAACAAAGAAAATATTTCGTATCAAAATCAAACAAAACTTGATTCTGTTCCTTAAATAATTTTTTTATAGGTACCTTTGTGTGTATGAGTGAGTATGACAATAAGGAATAAAAGATGGGTAAGATGTTTCAAATTTAGTATATAAAAACTCGATACTAGATTTTAAATATCTAGATAGGTACTTATGTAAAATGTATTACAATACAAGACATGTTTTTTTATGTATTTATATACTAGATACTTCATACATTAAAATTAAAATATTAATTAAATTAGTTAATTAATTAAACTACTTATACTAAAATTTCAAGTAACTTTTCAATAAATATTGAACACTCCATTAATCAAATTTGAGTTTCTTTATTGAAATGCTAAAAAAATGTCATATTAAAAAATTTAAAAAAAAACTACCCGGTGAATCACATTTTAATTTTTTTTTTTATGAAAGAACAAGAACTCAAACAAAAATTTAAAAGAGTTAATAAATGTTATTTTGAAAGCCTTTCTAACTCTATTAATATTATGACTCAAACAATTTAATGACAGAAATTAAATAAATGTACAAATTAGCATTAACCTAACCTAACCTTTTCAATTAAGTAAGTTAAATTCAAAATTTCAAATCTCTAATAATCAACATCAAATCTAGATCGAATAGATTTTTTTGATGAGCAAAAAAAAAAAAAAGGTCTAAAGAATAATTATTTATTGTTTCTTTTTTATTATAATAATAATAAAAATAATCTGATATTTTAATAGTATATGAGAAAAAGTAAAAAAAATGTAAGCTTATTAATGTGATACCTGGCATTGGTTTTCTGAAAGTTTTGAAAATTTTAGTATATAATTACTAACAGTTACCTGTAAACTTGAATCCAAATTACTGTTTGTAGTTTTTGAACAATATTTGATTTTGAAGTATGAAATACAAAAAAATGTTGACTCACATAACCAAGTTGAGCCAAACAATGAAGTTAAACGAAGAATAATGCTTTGTAGATTTAGGTATTTTTGAGTACTTGCATGTTCCAATAATGGTAAAATTAATTTTTATTCGCAATCGACCTATATTCTTAGAAAGATTGACCAATCAATTGCAATCAACTAGTTGGCGACCCCTGATATATCTGATAATTTTCTTTAACCTAACCTAATGTCTCCAACAAAATATTCATGGAAAATAGGTATGAATGATATTATGTGTCAATACAAATTAGAGCCCTCAAGAAGTGATCTACACAGTGATGAGTACCTGATTGTATGTTGCACAAAGACAAGACTTCAGTGTTTGATATGTGTATTGGTTTTTTTCCAGGAATATATCTAATAATAAATTTTAATATAACAATAAGGATTCTTTCAAAGTTTGTAATTTTTGTCTTATCGTTTGCATCCTATTATAAAAGCCAGCCAATAAAAATTTACACTTGTTTTCAAAAGAAATAAATTGATAGGAAATTTGCAGAGGCCATGTGTCCAGCTATGGCAGCAAGAAATGAGGAACCTCAATACAGTAGAATTAGCAGAATATAGGTGAAAATCAACAGAAGTAATTTTCTTAAAACTATGTAATTGAATTCTAAAATAGCAAGTTATGTAGGTTAATTTCTATCAACAATTGTTCTTAGTTTTTAAAATATTCCAATATTTCGAAAATAGGTAAACTAATAGGTACCTAATTAGTAATGAATTATATTATGTGAAAAAAAAAATATAATACTAAAATGTGTGGAATTACTTACCGTTCTCGATTTCCGGAGTAAGTTTCACGAGATTTTGTACAACACTGCGCCGTCCAAAACGTCTTTCCCTATTCATTTTGTAAAATATTATGGAATATTATTTACATACACCTAATAATAAAAAGAAGAACAAGATAACAAATGTGAGCATTATAAATAAAATAAAATGAAACTTCTCAGCATTAATAATGCATTACCTAATTATAATGGTGTGGCAAAAAATTAATATTTAAATTTCAGTATTCAAAATTCAAAATCCGTTAGAATCGATTGGAGAGATTAAAAAGCAACCGGTCCAAAACGCACGCTAAATAAACAAGTTGGCAAGATAACAGTGATCAATGCGCAGCGAAACTGACGTCACACGAAGTAAATGTTGATATTATAATGAGTTTTTCCATGGAAAAATAAACTATGGCCATAGTTTGGTAACACGAATAAACACATATTATCTCAATTCGTGTTTGGTAACAATGTTATTGAATACCGCGGGAAAATCATAGACAATATTATTAACTATTTATAAATATCTATCTATATAGAATATAGCCCTATATCTCTCTATATATAGAGATGTTCGTGTCTCTATACGGACAATCGAGAATTAAGAACAATGTCGATTTCAGATTTGATGAATTCTTTCCATTTTATCAAGATGTTTTAATTGTTGCCAAAACATTAAATAAGTAGCTATAACAAGAAAAAAAAACTATAGAACAAAGATTCTAGCTCTTGAGTAATTTTTTTATTTTTTTCAAAATGTATATATTCGTCGTTTTCCGTATATATTGAAAATGTTTAAAATAATGGAAGTTATTACGGAAGGAAACTTAAAAAAGTTCGATTTTTTCCGTTACGCGTATTTTTTGGTTGAAATTTAAAATTCTGCTTGGTGTTAAAAATGTTTTTTACACATATTTTGAAATTAATTATTACCTATAAAAGTTGCAGAGGTACGGGTCATCAAATATTATAAATACGAAAAATTGATTAAATTTCAATTTGTTATGCACTAGGTACCTCATTGAGTACGTATAGGTAACAGGGAAATTAAATTTGCATATACAGGTATAACTAGTAACCACGATTAAAGATATACGTTTCATATATATCTATATCTTTCATTGTGCTAGTAACTAAAAACTACCAGGCCAGTAAACACAATGATGAAGTAGTTGTAATGTATGCTTTTGGAAATTAAAATTAAGATTCAGTCAACTTTAAGAAATTACATTTTGTGGCAACAAAATTACTGAAATAAACAGTTTTAAATCATCAAAATAATACACACTGTTGTGCAGCCATTTTATTTCTATTTTACTTATCTGGATTAAACTATAAAACAATATTAAATTCATCAATTGCAATTAACCATTGCTTAAATAGCATTGATGTTTTCATGGGTTTAATTATATTAGTTTTGTTTGAATTTTTGATATACACACGTCATGTAGATTACAAATGGAAAAATAATTGAGCTAGGTAATAAGCACTCAATTTGAACAAAAATATTCAAAATGACATAAGGAATCAGGATTAAAGCATTAAAATAATAAATTAATATATTGGATATTTATTTTGCGGTTACATTTTCCAAAAACAAAAAAAAATAATAATTTCATAGATTAATAAGTTTATAATAAAAAAAATAATTACTCTGTAAATAAATAAATAATAATTAGTTGGACATACTTGATATTCAGAAAGATTATTATTATTTGACAAAGGAAATAATAAATGGTATACTGAACAATTTAAAACCAAATATCTTTTCAAGTTACAATTAGGTTTATTTGCTCCAGACACAGATAATGTTACTTGTTTTATACAAAATCATAATAATCTGGTAACAAGTTTTGTATAAAACAAGTTCAAACAGAAAATAAATATTTATAAAGTAAAAAAAAAATCTAAAACAATCAACAAGGAATATAATATTATATATATATATATATTTATAGGTACTATTGAACGTGAGTTAAAATACAAATAATGTTTAAGTGGAAAAAGTAATTTTCTCAATTTGTTATCTAATAAATACTTTTAATTTACAAATATTTTTAATTATTTTAACATAATATAAATTTTAAATTTGCTAGATTTTTCCACGATTATGCAATAATAATATAATATGAAATGTTAACAAAGTAATGACTAAAAAGAATTTCTTTTAATTTTGGGAAAATTTAGAATGGCAGTGTGTTTGCATTCATTAACGTAACGTTCCCATAAATCGTTTCTAATTGACGGAAAAAAAAAATAGATAACCGCTTTGAGCATATCAATTTTTTAAATGTGTAACGCGTGCCCAACATAATAAAGAATCAAAACATAACAGAGAAAAAAATATATATTATTTCCAATTGTTTTACTTTCAAAATCACAGACCACTCAGGACCAAAGTCCTCACCCATCCACACCCACAAACTTTAACAATCCATTAGAAATTTGTTTTCAAAATAAATTTTTTTAAGTACGTGAAAAAATCTTAATTATTAACATTAAATTATAATTTTTGTTAGAATAAATATTTAAAATTTTAATAGACTAGAAAAAAGATCTGTAAATAAAATAGGTACACATAAAGCTGATATACATATAATTGTTTTTTCTTCTTTTAAACCTAATAAACCTTTTTTCATTCAAACATCTAACACAAAATAAAATATCTATATTATATATATAAAATATTATTGATAACATAACTGTATATATTCAAATTTTTTTAAATTATTCTTTCTTTCTTTCTATTATATTTCTTGGTTGTTGGAAAATTTATTTAATTTTGTACTCTCAAGACTAATTTTTAAAGCAATATAGCAAGAAATAGCAAAGAAAAAATATTGACTCACGTAATTGTAATCCGTTAAATTAATAGTTGTTAACTCGAAAAGTATTCATGTTGAAAATTTAAACCGTTGAATTGTTATACAATTTCAAATTAAAAATACATAAATAAATATAAACTGAATTTTGGAATGATTAATAAGCTAGAACAAAATTAATTAACAAATGTCAACTTTTGGGATAAAATTTAATTAAATATGTAACAATTTTTATAATAAAATATGAAACAAAAACTCATCAATCTGGTAGTTAAGTTACTAGAATTTCAAAAACCTATAACACATTCAACAAATATTGCACTAATAGAGAAATTATGAGGGATCACTTAAACAACAAGCTAGAAAAGACTTAACATTGCACAATCGGTTGGTAACTCAAGTGCAAATAGAACATAAATCCAATGCCTTAATAAATTCACATTCCTATAGGACGAATATCATCCCCACCACCTTATTAAATTATACTATTCAATAGACCATCTAAATTAATTAAAAACGATTTCAATTTTTTTTTGTACGAGTGTGTGAAAAAAAAATTGTTGTATATATAATTTTGTATAACTTTTATAGGTTTATTGTGGACTGGTGCTTTCGGCTGGCACCAATGATTCTGCTGTAGTAGTACTCTTTTCATTGCACTCTACCATCTTATCGCAATAGTCCCTAAAATAATCGCGGAAACGGGCCCATGATTTTTCTGGCACTGTAATTGCTGTTCTAAAGTTTCCTTTAACCTAAAATTTTAATAAATAACAAATTAGTACTATTAAATTATAAATATAATATCAAAAATGTTAATGAAAAGTAATTTATACTTGCCGTAGTTGTTACTTCCGAAATACGCATATAAATGCCGCGGTTATTTTGACCGACATCAAAATAAAAATTTTTATTATCAACCCTCATGTGGCGACCATCAGGCAAGTCACCCTTAAACCCACCATCATCTGTGCCAAACTCATCTAATAAATCTGTCAAATTATCACGAAACTCAATCATCCCTTGTGCTGGGATAGCAACTTGAGAACGCGGACCACCACGAGTTATAGTCTGAGATACCTAAAAATAAACAAAACATAAAAATTTTGTTTACAATTTATATAATTTAAACTAAATTAGTTAAAAACCTAAGAAAAATGTAACTTACACGAAGAAATCTGCCACGTGCATTCTCCTTAAGGTCTAAATAATAGCGACGGTTGTCCTTGATCATCATTTCAGATTTCAATTTTCCGTCTTCAGGAACAGTATCTGGATTTGGTGGTCCTATAACAATTTATTATAAATACCTACTTTAAAAATTGTGTTTACTTAGAACAAAATACATAATTATTTAACTAAATGACAAAAATTATAAATTTAAATACATTTAATTGATATCTATTAATACCAATAATTAGTAAGTGGAACATTTATTATTTTTAATTTAGAATATTTTTAAACAATTTTAAAGAAGTTCAATTTAGACAAATAGAATATGACAAGGTTATAATCATAAACAATACACTTAATGTATTGATGTTTATACATTGATAATTATTAAAATGGAAGGTGGTTTCACTAGTTAGAAAAAAAAAAAAAGGTAAAATGTTCAAAAATGGCTAATAATTTGTTTTAATAATAAAATTTACAGATCAGAAATTAATAATGTGAAAAAAACATGTATAAAGAAATAAGATGAAATTATAATTAAATATTCTTATTTAAATAATATTGTTTATAATTATTTTATAAAAATTAACTTCCAAGAAATCCTTAATAGTAAATTGTTACTTATACTAATTAGAAACAAAATTTATGTTTTGTACTTTTCTACAAATTTTGTAACTGAAATATTTTGATATCTTGATAAGGTAAGAATAATTATAATGCCAAAATATTTTTATAGGTCTATTTTGAGATTGACTACAAATTGAAACGTATGGAATAGTTAATAAATAACTATTGAAGGACACTTGTTGGTGGGTTAACATAAGAGTAAATCAAAATTTAAGTATTATTATATTAATTATTTTTTAAATGACATTTTAATGCATACCTAGTCAAATTTGTATTAAATAAATGGGGAAGTTGATAAAAAAAAAAACCTTTGACATCCCAAAAGTTCTCTGTGCTTTTTGTAGCAAATTTTAGTACCATTTAATTTAAGCCTTAACATATTAAGTAGTTTGTAGTATATACCTATTTCCACTGCAATTACCATTTCATAAATTACTGTTTAATAATATTTACCTAATTGTGAATAAAACTCGCTGAAAGTACCAAGATGATCTCTGAAGTCAGCGGCAGTAGACAATGCCAAAAAAATTTGACTTCTTCTGCCATCAGCTCCAATCTATAAACAAAGTTAAATACCTAGTTAGTATATTTTAAATCATAAGACTCTACTAAAGTCACCAGAGGCAGATCCAGGACAAGATAACAATAGAAGGGGCGGGCGATTTTGAATAAGTATTTAAGGCACACATTTATGATGAAAATCAAGCCAATAGTATATTGAGTGACCAGGGAGGGGGGGAATCGTCCTCCTAACTCTGCCACGACTACTAATATCCATTCAATATTGGATGAATTTTATATGACTATTCTAACGATTGGATATTTGTGAAGGAAAAAAAAATTGGTTCATTGTGATGGGGGGCTATTAAAAATTGTTTAACTAAAAGTTTGATTTAAGGTATCAGACTAACTACTCACTCATTTATAGTCGCAGTCTAAAAACTTGATTAAATATAACGATTTTATGTTAGAACAAATAATATATTACAAATTGTAATTACTTCAGCGACTTTTATGAACTTTCCTCTTCTATTCTGTTTGACATCCAAGTAGAACCGTTTCGATTGTATTTGAAGCATTTTAGTGGCCAGTTCCTGTTCATTGCTTTGCTGTTGTTGACCTATATAGAGCAAAAACATAAAAAAAATAAATTGACAGATTCCCGGTTTTTCGACATGCGAAACAACAATAATATTAAACATCAACGATAGGATAATACTGCGGGTATTAAATATACTTAATAGCATAATATAATATAATACTCGGCGAGAAAAACGGATTTTTACCATAGACGACAATTTCTTTGCCGATGTCGGACATGGCGTATTCGCGTTTTCGCGCAGACGACGGACAATATCAATTAGTATTATAATAATCTAGTCGAATTTGACTATTGCAGTTGTAACGGTAGCCCGTAAGAAACCGCCATGATAATATTTCACTAACAAAAGATCAACAGCGGGAGCACGACGCTGGCCGAGGGGTAGCAGCACCAGCACGACCGACGGCGTTCGGGGATGGCAACAACACTACTGGCAGGGATTAGGTCAGGGCGCTCAATAAGTGGGTCACGTCAGCTGATCCATCGGGTAGGAACGACAGTGGGGGTCGCAGATATGCACCTGCATGACGACGATTTATGGTCGTCGTCGTCGTCGTTTTGTACCACGGGAATTTATTGTCTGTAATACAAAATATTATACGCTTTGCGCCTATCCGAGTAGAAGAAACACTGTTCGGAGAGGAAAAAATAAGCACCTAACAATAATTCGATATTTAAACGGATCCGCGCAGTCGTAAATAATTATCGCCGCTGGTTGATTAACAGGACTCGCGAAATGACAAAGAAAAAAAAATTGTACTGCTAAAGGTGTAAAGTTAAGAAGGTATAAAGTAATTTGATTTATATCTGTACGCGATAAATATCATTGCTAACGAAAAACGATTTTGAGCGAAGTTCAGTCAAACATATGTTTTAAAATGCAATGAGATTTTAACGATTTTTGTCAAAACTTAAATTTACAACGCTAATAAAAAAAAAACTCGCTATACATTAAACTCAATTTTTTTTTTACCACTTATGATATAAGATAACCAATTAAACCGTGTGTTAATAAAGTTTCGACCATTTGTACAGGGCTGAAGCAATTTTATGTAAATAAAATTAACAATGAAAAAAAAAATCGAAGATGTCAAACGCCTATAAAGGCTCAAAAATCGACAGAATGTTTTGAGAAAAATTCAGGTCTCTATTATTACTATTTAAACTGAATTACAAAAAAAAAAAAAATTAACAGAAACTATTGTTTGCGTAAATTTTCCAGGAATTATATGAATAATATATGATTACAGGTATATAAAAATATATATATATATATTTTTTGGGAGGGGAGGCATGGAAATAAATTTATCGCAGTTGACTGACTGGTCCAAAATTATCACAATACAGTTATTTGCTCTTTCCTACATATTTTATATCAATTATCCACAATTATGTCACATATATACGTGAATGTGCCAAATTTCGGTATAAAATCACAATTGTATTAGTATAATAATCATTAATTAACATCAGAACATGGGAAAATTATATAAAAATGTTTTAACAATATCGTAAAAAAAACAGTTCTTTTATTTCTGCAGTACAAATTTATATGTGGAAATGTATTCAAAGTTTAGAATTTGTTTAAAAAAAAAAATGTAATACGCTGATGTGATAAAATATTTACCTACATCTTCTAAAAGATTGATATTTTACATTTAGTTTTTTATAAAGTCATTGGAAGGTGGACGGTAGACAAAAAATAACAAAATGTAACTCCGGGCGTCCGAGTTTCGTCCGTGCTAAATCAATCGTAGGAGTAGTCAAGAAGTTCAATACAACTACTTTCTCGGGTAGTTTATTTACAGACCCTATCCGAAACGAAACCAAGTTAACTATCACGGGAATTTTAGTAGAACTTTAGGATATTTTTACGAGTTTTAGTAAAAACTGTTTTACAAAACATAACCGGTTTGTTAGTTTAAATCCGATACAGCTCAAAGGAAATTAAGATCCGAAATGTAAACATAAAACCTTTAAGTTTGACACAAAATTACATTTTCATTATTGTTGTCCGCGATTTTATGCAGGAATACAACAATTATTCGGTAAATAAACTGTGTGATAAACAATTTAAGTCTTATTAGTAAATAATTGATAAGTGACGTTTTGAACAACAGTCTTTCCCAAATGTGATCATTGACGTAAGCAGGGGAGAGATTAGAGGTTATACCTCCCCAAAATACCATGGAGTGTTTATTTGGTAATTTAATAATGAATTTTTTTTTTAGCCAAGTCGCAAGGAAAAAAATGCAGCTCGATTTGACCAATAAAAATTGGACTAGGATTTTAAATTTTTATTGTATATAATATTACAGTATAGGACCAGGTATAGCAGAAGAAGCTTTTACGATTTGTTCATGAATCATGATTACTGTTTAATACATCCTTTCCCATTTCCGGGCACGGTACTGCAAACACATTCGACAGAGTGCGGCGGGTGTTGTTTAGCGGTTTAACTAAAACTTAAAAACGATTAAAATACGGTCGTTTATAATTTGTTTGAGTTCCGGTGTTAATCTTCGGTCACTTTTTGTTAAATAATGTTTAATAAGTGTATTTTTTTTCGAGTGATAAATTTTCGAACGAACGCAAAATATTAATTATATTATTTATCGCAATGTGAGTGTATAATATGAGTCACACGTGTAACGTAACTGGACGGGACTTTCTACCCTATACACGACCATCGCACATCCGTGTGATCAGCCTCGCTTTAATATAGAAGAGAAACGATACAGGTGATGGGTAGTGTACCACTGTTATAGGTGGGAAGTTGGGAAGGTATGGCGGATACGTAAAGTTATTCAATTATATAAATACAGATGCGTACAGATAAATATTTATCTGTAGGCAACTATAAATCATTGCTGACGAAATACGATTCTGAACTAAGTTCGGTTAACGACGTTTTGAAGTGCCGTAATTTATACGACTTTCGTCAAAATATAAACTTGAAACAACGCTTATTTTTTTTTTTCACCACTAAGAGAACAAGTGTTAAATTTTCAAGCATTTTTGTTTTATAAATTTCATACACATAAACCAAATAAAACTAATAAACCGCGAAAATGAAAAATGCCTATCAACTCAAAAATCGCCAGAATGTTTTGAAAATTATATACGTCTAGAAAGGGCTAATAAAAATAACCGGTGACAAGTAAACAGGTCTCTACAATTATGTTTAAATAAATTACACGAGGAAAAATAAATCGAAAATAATGAAACCGATAATGCATATGAAATTTCCGTTTTTCTCGAAGAAAACTTATACGAAGAAATTGCAAACGACTTTCTTCAGAAAATTACAACCAAATTTGATTGCGGTAAATATTTAAACTACACGCACACATTTATTCGTCTTTGCCCCTCTTAAAATTATTTTATTCGTAACCTTGAATTATATGATGAAAACAGAAAAATGTATTAATAATTTAATATCGTATGAATACTTCACTTAACAATCAGAAAAGTATCTGCGCGCAAACCAATATTATAACATTACGCATATTTTATAATATTAAAAAATCGAATATTACAGGTCCAATATAATTATAGTTTATGAATAACATGTGATTTATTTAATTTTTTTTTTTTAATTTCATATTACTCGCGATGATTGTCACTTTTTTCTTTTTAGACACACAAATCGGCATATATTAATTAATAAAATTACGGAATGATTCTTACTAACGATGATGTTACTGAGAAATCGCCTATTATAATATAATAAGTAAATACATTTGGGGAGGGACTGAAGTGGATAAACTACACTTATTCCATAAATTTTTGTAAAAAAAAAAAAAGTGGGATCACGAAAAAACCTTTTCTACGTTCCCATTTTCAGGGAAGCTACGTAAGAAATGTTGAGGGGGCCAGAGATTTTGATGCGACTATGGCCCCCTTAGCCCCCACATCCTATGTCCGTGAGCATATTTATTATATTGGTTTTATATATTTAAATTATACTCGTTTTAATCCGTTAGAGGGTATTTACTACGAATACATTGTTAGTATACATAGTGTAAAAACATTATTTTTTGGCGCCATGATTTCGTTTTTTTCTAAAATAAATAATACTGAAAGTTGACAAAATTTCACATTCATTTTAACAATAACAGTTATAACTGGGGTTCGGGATTTATTGCACTAAAAATCCCCAAAAATGCTCTGAAAAAGAATGTCTGTAACGGGTCTAACTTATTAAATACAATTTTCTAACGCTACACAAACTATTAACTCGGTTATTTTTTTTCTATAATACGTACTATTTTAATTAAATAAAATTTCTTTTTGTTAATCATTTGTGTCGTTTTAGAAATGTATAGGTAGCTACTTCATAAGTTAGGATGATTATACACGGGGACTTGTAAACCCTTCTATCATTTGTTTTTATTATATTTTTTTGTGAAATTTAAGTGCAATAAATCCCGAGAATTAATCACAATCAATAAAATAATTGTTCGTTATCTTAGATCGTATACATTATAATTGCATTTTTAAGTAACAAAATTATCAAACAAATAATAAATATTAAAAGAATCGGTTGTGTTATACTTGAGGAGAGGATACTACACATACTATTCGAACCATCAAATAAAATATATCGAGCTGTCTATACGGGAACGAAAATTGTCGCGTCAAAATATCGGAAGGGGTGGGGAGGGGTAAATCTCGTTCAGTCGTCGATACATATCCAATATTATTATTGCGTTTGTGACAACGGTGAATACAGTGTTGTTGAAAGAGAGAGGAGGGGGGAGGCGTGGTTGCGAAAATAAATTCAATTTCGGCTTATTCTAGAAAAAAAAAATGGTAAGTTTTTTTTCCAAAAATACGAAAATCAATTGAAACAATTATCTATAACGGAACTTACGCCTCCCGTGCGTGAAACCCATTAAACCCGGCTTTATAAAGTAGCCGCCCGCATAGCATCCCCATCTACCGAATACTCGCGATTTCCATTATCGAAAATCGTTTTTGGAACAAGCCGAAAGAAAAACGTATCGTCAGGCACGACCGTATAAATATTATAATATTTTAAAGGCAGAGGGCACAGCCACGCGGTGATTTTCGCAGGTCTAAACGATTAGGGAGATTGGAAGCGACGAGTTTCCGTTTTTGTCCTACGTGCGTGAGATATCTTTAGGGATTTAGACGTGTTTTAATTCCAAGGTACCGATTGATCTGGTGAAGCGATGCGAACTCTGAAAGCAGATTCGAATTTGTCGTGAAGTCTACTTGAGGTCGACTTTCCCGTTATTTTGATTTTAATTTCTCAAAAAATTAAAATATTTCCATTTTTTCGATTATTCTTTTATTAGTATGGCTTTTTTTTTTAGAATTTCAAGATGTAAATTAAAAAAGCGATAACGTCGATCTCCAGCAGACTCACGACAAATTCAAATCTGTTTCCAGAATTCTTATCGCTTCACTAGATCAATCGGTCGGTACGTTGTTATTGAAACACGTCTAAATCTCTATACATGGCGCGTGTAAAACAAAGACAGAAACTTGTCGCCTCCGATCCCCATAACAAATGTTATTCGTTTTCACAAGACGCGCGATAACCGGCATGAAAAATGCTCGCGATCGGTTGTTATTCAGAACAATATTCTGTTTTATTAGGTGTCGTTCGATTACAACGGTGCGATCCGAATTGACGCGGTTACGGAAAACAATATTCACCGTCGAAAGAGGCTAAAAACAAAGAATTGTTATCGACACGAACACGGTATTTTGTAATTTTATTAACCGAAAAAAAAAAATAATAATAATGATAACGCGAGTCGACACGCGGCAGCATGAACATCACGTCATTTGCTGCCTTAGCCGTATACCTTATACCGGCAGCTTTAGATTACGATAAATTCTTCGGTTTCGGGCGATACGGCCGGCATGACGTTGTAATAAATTATCTATTCTTGAAGACCAAGACGACGAAATTCAAGAAAAACGACAAAAAAAAAAAAAAAAAACTTAACAAACGATAACAATAATCGAAGTCCGTTAGTAGTGGACATTTCGGATTCGGGACACAGGCCGTGTGAATTTGTGGATTTTGTTTAAATTACCGACTGCCGGCTGCCAATAGGATATCCTTCCGTAGTCCCAACTACTGCTGCGGTCGACGTTGTTCACCGTCACGCCGCCGGCCGACTTTCCGGACGCGTCCGTCCTCGCGACAAGGCACTCGCGCCGTTCCATGGAAAACTCCCGCAACGACAGCGAAACGAAATGGTCGGAGTCGACGTCGACTGAGTGGTCCGCGGTCACCGCGACAAACTACCTGCTGCTACGGCGCGAGTTGTCCGTATTCCCGCCATGTGCTCTCCCCGAAAGGAGAATCTTTTGGCGGTTGCGGCGACCGCGACACGGTGACGCGTACCGTACGCGGGGACACGACGAGCGGGGCAAAAGACCGGGCGAGTGACTCACGTCAGAAATCCCCGCCCCACCACCACCCCGGACACGGAACGCGAATGCGACGATGACGACTGCGGCCGGCCCGACCGATAATATAGGTACACGCGGATAGCATAGACAATGAGAAAAAATGGGGAATAACCCCGTCGAAACGACCTAGAAAAACGCGATGTTTTTACGCGAACTTCGGTTTTTCAGCCATATCGTAATAAATTTATCATTTATATTGTTTCGTTGTAATATTTGGCTGGTACATTACGAGACATTCCGGAGGATACACTACATTAATAGATTGGAAAACTAATACTGGTTTTAAAAATAACTCGGAGGAGCCAGGGTAACGTAATAAATAATTATCAAAAATAGGCGAAAATACCAGAGTTGAAATGGTTCTTTTTGTTTTAAACTATAATACAAAATGAATATTCGAAATATTTACCAACATACAGCCTGATTGACTACGAACATTTACTTTGCATTTAATTATTTACAATTTTTGTAATGTATCATAAATAGGTTAAATCCAATACAGGTTTAAAAACATTATATAGTTTCTGTTGGGTCTATTTTTTTCTTCAGTAATCATAATATAATTTAAAAGACAATTATTTTTGTTGGCACAGATATCAAACGGTGGTATAACAAAAAGAAAATAAATATCTATTTCAAATTTTAGATTTATGTGATTAATAGAATCAGGTTTTAAATAAGTACTTAAAATAATTTTCATAATGTGAAATTAACAATGTATGCGTTTCAATTTCAATAAATCAATTTTTTAAATTATATTTATCAATTAAAACTTGAACCTCTTTGATCAGGTTTTGTTTAGTTCTTAAGCGATTTTCTTATATTTTTATAAAGTTTAGAGAATTTATTCATAAACTGGAGATTGTAATAACCATAAATATTTGTTTATAATTAAATTATTAAAAATACAAATAATATACACATTTTATTTTTTAAATTTAATTTGTTATCAATAATAAAATAATTGGTTATTTATTCTTTAATCACAAATAAGCAATAGACCTGTAAACCAGTGTATCCCAACCTATGGGTCGCAATGAAAAAAAAATATGTTGATTATAATCTAATAAAATAAAAAAAAAATATGCACACTAGTAAAAATAATAAGAAAATAAGCAAATGTAAAACCACCCCCAAAAAATTGAAAATGTACGAATTATAAGTATTAGTTAAAACATATTACAAAATTATTTTTTCCTTTGAAAAACTTTTCGACCAGAAACTTTGCTTAAATTTACAATGATAGCAATTTTCTAAAAAGAAATTTGACTGGGAAGGTACTTGAAGGTCATTTTTCGATTTTCCTAATAGTTTTCCAAAAAAATGTGAAAAGCCGGGAAAAAACAAGAAAATCGGTACAATATTAAGCAAATATTATTAAAGAAAATATATAATACTTATTTAATTATTTTACCATAATATGACATATAATATATTGTTGACAAAGCATTACTATCAACTGAACTCTGCTCAAAATCGTTTTTTCATTAGCAATGAATCGTCATTCCTTACAGATATACATTAAATTCCCTTCTGTATCCAACCTTCCTAACTTTCTACCAACAACGGTGGCTGTACTCCCATTATCCTAGGATAGCTTTTTTAATGTGGTTCGCATACCCAAAATAGAGTAAAAGAAAAAGGTTGGAAACCGCTGTTGTAAACAATTTAAGTAAGGTAGTTTTTTAATATTATTGAAGACATCAAAGAATTGATATTTAAATGTAAATAAACCAAAAAAACTTGATTATTATTAACTCGTGGATTGTATAGTTATTATGTAAACACTAAACACTGATAAAAAAAGAATATATTGATTATTTTTATGCAATTTAAAAATAAATATGAATGGTAAGATAGATATTTGTTTTTATAAATACTATAATATATACAGAAATTTGATTAGATTTGGTCATGGTATAAAGTTTTGCATTTAATTATTAATAATTGCACTAATGCACTTTCAGTATTATAGAACTTTTACAGTTATAAACTTATCATGATAGGTACTATCATAAATGATGTATAAAAAAAATGTATCTTAGGCTCATTCCCACCAACGAAAATGTTGATTTTTAAATAGAGTTTATAAGATAATCAACCAATCGTGGTCGGTTATCAACTAAAAACTCAGTTTAAAAATAAAAAAACCGTAATTTTTTACGTTGGTAAGAACGGCCTTTAGAAATTATTTTAATAAAAGTATATTTATTTACATCTAAGATTACCACTACAGACTAAGATAGTATTACTTTAATAGTGATTTGAAAAAAAGTAAATTTATAGAAAGTTTATTCCGCGTAATGTGGCAACTGATTAATGTAGGCAGCCACCTAAAATAGGCATAATGATCTAGCCCAATTCTAATGCATAGCACATTTGCAACTGTTTAATATGGGCAAATGTAACTGGTCCCAACTGCCTACATTAAGCAAAATCCACTATATTGGAAACTGATGAAATAGTAAAATGTGCAACAAGTTAGCGAGTGCTTATATAATTAACTTAAAAACCAAATTATAATAACTCTTAAAATATAGCTAAATTAATATAATTTAATAAAACTAATTGATATGTATAATACAAAAACTTTTAAGTACCTACCTACCTAAATATTATTATGATTTTCAAATATAAAACCACTTAATATACTCGCCTAAGTTACAATAGATTACATTTTAAACTGCTTCAATATAATATTATTCTTATGTCGGAAATGAGAGTTCTCAATGTTGCAATAAATATCTAAAACAATTAGCACAACAATTGACTGGTCAGAACTAATTGAAGTCAACTCTAAGTAAATGAAACAACTCATGTCATTGACTTTTTAATATTAAATCATGATTAGATTTTAAACAGACCGGGAATGATATTTTATTCTACAAAAGTAATTTTCACAGTGCTATTAACATACTAAACATCAGTTAATTATTTTTTTAAATGTACCTTTGTACAATATTTATTTACTATAAAATACCAGAATGTGCTACCAAAAATAGAAATATTTGTTTAGTTATAATTCTGGATCATTCAAATTTGATTTCATTAAAAACAGTAAGAGCTTGTATTCGCAGTATTCTTTTAATACACATTATGTAATTATAAAATAAATTATAATACATGATGATATTAAAAATTATTTTCTATTTAAAAATGTAATATACTTATAATAGGTGTATGTGTCTACAATGCTAATAAAATTAACTTTTACTTGAATTGTCTAGTATTTCTTTTGATTTTGATAAAACAATACAATTTTCACTAACAATGATGTAATAACTACATTAATATATTTATAATATTATAAACAAGCTAATAATATGAAAATAAAATGCATAAATATGTTCGAGATTATGTAATTTTAGAAAAATGTTGTATAAATCCTATAACCAATAATTACCTACATATAATTGTTATTTTTATTTCACTAAATAGATAAAAATCTAACACACATAACAGGAACATAATAGAAGTACGACGTCTATAATACAAGTACTCATTCAATACTAAAATGTACTGATAACTAGATATGTGGCATAACAATTAGTTGATAAGGCATTTGTATCTGTTATTGAATAGTGAATCATTTTTTTTTCCACAAATAAAAGTCAATAAAAATTAAATAAAAGTAATCGAATTAATACCTAGATTAGGCATTTGTACTGACATAATATTATTTTAATAAAACTAAATTTAATCAATAAACCTTAGTATTATCTAACTTCTGACATTTACAACTATATGTTAATACATTATATATTTATATAAACCTATAATGTTTAATTATTGTTTACACAGATTTAGTAAATAACAAGTATAAATTTAATAATTCAGAAAATAATTTTACACAATGTTCAACTCTACCCTGCATTACCTAATTGAATTTTCAATATAAATGTTACTTAAACAAAGCTGAATAATAAATTAATGTTTAGTAGCTATAGTATATAAAGACTAAACATCTAGGTAATTAAAACATCTGTTACGAAAATAAGACCAATGTAATTTTATTTAGAAATTGAAGTGTGATAAAAATAAGTAAAATATCCGTAGGCACCTAGGTAACTATAATACAATACAATACTAAAATTGTGAATTAAAAAAGCCAAATAGTATTTACAAATACTTTCAACTATAAGAGTTGACAAGTAGCTGTTAAGAGAATATTATTCTTACCGGAATCAGAACCTGTGGGTCCATTTGAAGCTTGTCCTGTAAACAAAAATTCAGAATATTTAGTATTCAGTCGATAATGTACATTGCGCATCACCGATAATGGCATGCACGAATTTAATGGGGTATGCTCATTAAATGAAAATACCTCGTCTTCTAGCGGATCGCGCGTCTCCGGACATTTCGAGCATACTCGTTTACCGAAAGAAATAACTGATATGAATATTACCTACGGATCGAACAACTCGGACCCGACGAGCTCCGGCGCTCGGTCTACGCGCCTAAAGTATTTTCTTGCACCGTGTAATTCGTTGAGGTTTTTTTTTTAAAATTGCATGTACCGCGAAAATCGGTCACCTAACGCAGGGCCTATGAACGTCGGGGACATATGTTTCGAATAGGACGCGAGCAGACTACTCATGGAACGGGAGAGACAGCCGCGAATATCGGCGCTTCGGTGGCGCACCGAACGAATGTCAGTGACCGGCTGACAAGCGGCGCTGCGGCTCGGGGTCAGCCATCTTGGATCAGTGAATTTGTTATCTTTCCGAACGGAGCGACGACGAAGTTCGGTGCGCGCGACCGCCGACGCGCCGATCGGCACCGTTCCGCGGTCGGGACAGCGGGTCGAGCTGTTCCGCGCAGCTCGAATTAAATTCGTTATCTCGTCGTGTTTAATTAGGTACTCACTTGGGGTTTGGGGCTGTTCATCGCCGCTCTCTCGGTCCGACATCATCCGACAACACACAATCACACAAACCGCCGCCGCGCTCTTGCCGCCCCGCTACGTCCTGCCAGCACCAAAGACCGCGAACACAGCCGGCTGAACGATTTTTTTTTCCACACGCACAACCACTACTACCGTCTGGTCTCTCCGTCGCACACTACTTCTCTCTCGCTCTATCCATCGGGCGTGCGCGCTTGCACTCACCTCGGTTCGTTTTATCGCTCTCTCTCAGTCACCGCCCATCGACACCGGTCTCACTCACTCGCTCTCACTCTGGAACGTGACGCGTGCGCGCGCGCGCGCTTCAACCACAATACGCTCTGTATAAAACCTATGCGGCGGCGTCGAGCTCGGGTTTTTGACGGTCGTCGATTCGGTTTTTTACGCACCGGAAAATTCCTTGTACGGACAATCAGCTGATCGACTAGAGGAGCCAACATTGGCGGGCGGGCGTGCGCACTACGTCGGGCACTCGGGCCTCGCCGCAGCCATCGCCATCTGGCCGTTCGCTGTTGCGCGCGGACTTTGGCGCCCAGCGACACGCGCATACGCCTAGGTATTCGCGCGTTTGCGCGTCTGTCCACGTAAAATATCGACTTTCGTTCGCGTTTATTTGTATTGTCGGCGCGCCGCGCAGCCGTCCCAGTTGCAAAAACTATTTTGTCAATAATATCATTTCCAATATAGGTACCCTGCCGTACAGTAGGTACGCGGCGGCGACAAGCGTGCGCAACCGATTCGCTCGCGTGTAAATAATATCACAAAATAAATGTCGTAATGACAACGGCGAAGAAGCATATTTTATAATCCATACCATTGATTTCATAACGCATTTGTCAATAACATACGTTACCTACTCGTCCCTGTTACGTTCCTCACCCTTTCGCATTATTATTTATTTTATGCCAAATCACCTCGGGGGGGAGGAGGGCATCTGACGGTACGGGCTTAGCGAACCCGCGAGATCCCGCTAGTGGAAAACCCGGGTGGCTGATTCCAATTGGCATATATGGTACCTTCCTATTGTTATTTCTGTAAGATGGAGGAATTCACTTTAAAGTTGACCATACCATTTTCCCCGTGTGAGGGATCAGAATACTCCCACGGTACCTCTATTCGTGAAAGACGATAAATGGGGTTGCGTGCGGCGGACAGTATGGGGAATTCTAAATAAGACTTAACAAGTCACATTGTCCTATCTCGGATGTGCGTGGGGACAACAGGTGAGTTAACAGTGTGCTTGAGGAATGAAGAGCAGCACTTGACGGAAAGGGACTAATGATAAGCGTAAGTAAAACAGAGTACGAGGAGAAACAGGACGTGACAGCTAACGATAATAAGCTGTTACAAGCGACGTTGAGTTTTAAGTAGATGCCTAGGATCTTTTGTACAAAAGAACGATAGTTTTCACGAGGATGTGAACCATAAGATTCAGTGTGGTTGGATAAAGTGGAGAGAAGCGTCGGGTGTTTTAGTGACGACGAGACTTGAAAATGATTTCTACAAAAGTGTGGCGGTGAGACTGACTAGTGACCATGTTGTCAGTGGTGGTTTTTAGGGTAGACAATAATTACACGTTACCTACGCATATACGTACACAAATAATATTTATTGCTTGATTGCACTGGTTAACAAAATAAAAAAAAAAAAATTGTTGCCATGGTTTTTTGACTGAATATTGATTAAGTTGATGACGCTGAATTTATTAAAAATACCTATGTAACGGAGTTTCTTCAAATCGGCTCGTATTTCCGAGACAATAATCCATATGTATTTATAAACGAATGTCTGTTCCTTTATGCATTACTACACCATTCGCCCGATCGCCATGAAACTTTGGGAAAGTGTTCCGCGTTGTCCGGAGAAGGTTTATAGTTATTGATATACATATCCACCGTTACGGATACCGTCAACAAAAAAGAAAAATATCATAATTGTATGATTTTATGTACCTACTTTCTATTTGTGTACCTACATAAATTCTTAATTGTTTCAAGTTGATGGTGACGAAAATCCCAAGGGGGAAAGGGGCGATCCACAAATCCCCCCTGATATCCACCGCTGTCAAGTAATCGACACAATGATTTTATACGTAAAATTAAAAACTCGATGGTTTTTTTCTCATATTTCCCCGTGCAATCGATTTGACAGTTTAATAAATGTATTTATTCATTTATTCTTTGTAATCGATTACTTATCTTTTTTTTTCATCTTAACGAAGATACTGTTTTTTTGGTTTATGAAATTATTCTCTTTTACAAAAATGGTAAATGTATACCTATAATAATTTCTTTTTACAAAATACATATTGAAATAATAAAGGAATAAAAATTATGAAATAAATAACTTTCAAATTACAAATAAGTCTTATTCAACTTCACATTTTCGCATTCGAAGATCACGGAAAATCTAAAAATCTAACCAGAATATCTGTTTCCTTGTTTCTGACATTAGAGGAACATTTTAACTGTGCTTTACTTTTTTTACTAGGAGACAACTGTGGACGCAGACACGTGTCACATTTGTGGGGGTAAACCCATTTACAACAATGAAACTTGGTACCTATATATTTTACTACAAAGAAAAAACATTTTATATTACGGTTTTGGAGGGGCGCATATTTCTCCTCCTCTCCTTGGATCCACCACTACTTGTATGAATTCCATTGTCTACGGTTTATTTGTTTGGCTTAGACAACTCATGTTTTATAATACTCTATTACAGAAAATATGATTTCCATAACTAGAAAAGGAACTTTTAGGGGAAAAAAAAATCGGAAAAGTGTCTCCCTACGATTTTTTAGACTTTCTCTAAAAGTAATACTCTATTTAATTATATTGATAATACATTAATAACTAACAAGTCTATATAGTTTCTCTGTGTAGAGTAAGGAATGTAACTTTACAGGGGCGTATTTTCGGGGGGAGGATTTTGACTCCCCCAGAAAAAAAATATGGTTCAAAAAGTCATATACGACTTGCTACCAAGGTATAGAGAAATAGAACATTAAATTATACAGGGTGATTTTTTTTATCACGAACCAGTAATTATTTCGGAAGATTTTAAGTGAATTTGATTTTTTAATCTTTGTAGAATCGTTTAAGCTTTATTTTAAAACCATTTTTATTTGTCTACCCTTACTTAATGTACCTTAAATAAGAATATACTTTTGTTTTTCAAATCGGAACCTCTCCCCCTTTTTTGTTTAACACAGATTTTAATAGAGTATATTTTTGTAGACATTTTGATATTCATAAATCATAACACTAATATCAGATTCACCGTTTATGAGTTATAACTGTTTAAAGTTTAGACCGGAGGAGTAGAGAAGTGTTATCAATTATCATTTAAAAGTAGATATACAATTTATGGAGTAGAGGTAAACAATTAAAAATGGTTTTAAAATAAGGCTTAAACAATCGAACAAAAATTTAAAAAAATATAAATCAAATTCACTTAAAATTTCCTAAGATAATTACTCGTTCATGTTAAAAAAATCACCCTTTTTTAGAAAAATTTTAACCCCCCCCCCCCACAAACAATTTGAAAATACGCCACTGTAACAATATAAGTAGGGATTTTCCTGTGTGTATTTCCTACAAAATCCAAATATTTATAGAATTTTGGAAGTATTATTAATTAATATTTTTTCAAATTTGTTCTCAAAACATTCACTATATAGTCACAATATTATAATTCGTCCTTGCAGAATTAATTGCGTTCGCATTAGGTACAATAGGCATTCCAGATTACTCATTATTTTTTCCCTATAGTCTACACAATACACACATATATCTAGTTTAATTTTTTTACGTGTACATGCACATTGCAATGATCATATTTTTATAACATGTACGTTCATTTTACATGATCTATAAATGCGTACGGACTTGACAGTTTTTTCTCGTCCTCTCCTGGCCCGGGTCTAAAAGCCAGAATTTAACCAAATACATATGAAATAAAACATCATCGATTAGTTATATTATTGCAGCCCTATAAACATTTATATCAAAATTCGATTTGGTATTTCGAAGAAACTCGAGGCCCTAGAATTACCGCCCGAGCTATTAGTATTACCGCACAGTGCACCGATAAAATGTAATACCTATTGGCTATTACATATAATACAGCCACGGGCGAATATAATATGCATTAATATTTTTTTGATGTGAAGGTCGATCTTGCCTTAGTGTTTATACATTGTACACGACTATACGAGTATATAGTCTATAAACAATAGCTATACGCTATATATGCATATACAAAGCTTTAATTTAAACCTATGGCTTAAATATAAAATCCGTTTGAACATTTGTATAAACGGATAATTTATTAATGAAAATACGAAAATAGCAGAGGGGCAATGACCGCGTTCATTAAACTGCAGTAGATCGTAAAAAATGTATAAATTGATCTTATAAAATGAAAACAAATTTTAAAAATTAAAGATATCATGCAGTAAAAAAAAACCCACCTAAATCTACTTAAAAATGTATTACACTATGCCTATACGATAACCTAGTAACCTAGTCCAAGTTTGAACTTTTAAAGAGTACCTACCTACTTATACCTAACACTCGTATGTTTCTGTGAAATACTCATCACCCATCTAACGATCCAGTAGAATTATTATTATTATTTTTTTTTAAATAAAAAATAATATGATATACCTAGGAGGTGGCTAGGTATTGTGATTCGTATAAGTTATTATTTAATACTCGTCAATTAAATTATAAATCAATTATAGATAAAACAAAGGAAGTTTTTTTATAAAAGGTACATTTTTTTTTTTTAAGTAATAAAATAGAGTTTTAAAAAAAATCCAGTAGGTACCAAATTTTATGTTTAATATACCGGTTTATACATATACATTTACTACACCTACCTACATTTCATAAATATATATTTTTTTAATTATTTACACCTGCTATTGCATATTTAAGCGGAATAAACTATAAAAGCGTAGCAATTTTACAATAGGTACGCATGATTTTATACAAACATTAAATAAATAAGTGGCTGTAGGTTGAAACATTAAAAACAGTTCTACTTATACAATAGAGGAGCGGAAATGTACCTAGGTACGTATAATTTAACAGCAAAATCGGGTATTAGAATTATTTTTGTACACAAAATTATAATTGTACCCAGGTATATACTATAGTATTTATATATTTTCATCAGTTAAATGAAATTTACAGTAAAATATTATAATCTACAAACCGTACATCATAGCCTATAGGTACCACCTACCCGTTTGTGTTATTCAAAACTTCCAAGTAGACAATGTCCAACTAGACATTCCAAGTTCTTAAATAAGCATCCTGTAAATTGTTGGTATATTTGCAAATACTAATTTTTTTAATTATTTGGTGTTTTTTTTCATTTTACATTTTAAATTTTCCAGATCGCGTCATTATCGTTATTCGTTATTATCATTATTATTATTATCGTGAGGCTAATATTTTAATATAAAATTTTGAGAACTGAGAATGTAGACCAAGGCCGAATATAGTATAATATAGTTTAAATAAACCAAATTCTATACACTTGTAGAATTGTAGGTAACTTCTATTAATGTTGTACTCTGTAGATGTTTTTCTTTTAATAGGTAATATAAGTGGGTGTATAAATGACGACCATAAACATAAGTTACATAAGTACAATATTTAGTAGATAGGTAGGTATTTAATTGGTGCACTGTCAACACCATCAGTCGAATGTTGAAGTTGAAATACATTTTATAATTTAAAAAGTGATTAAATGACCTATACTACTAGTGTACCTACTATATAATATTGCAACCTGTACTATATATAAAATACTGATCTGCCACGGTACCACCAAGTCTATAACAATATTCACTGTCACTTTCTAAATATCCTATCTTTCTCTTTTTATTTAATATGACTCACTCTAACGAGTAACGATTACAATCCACAGACATACAAAACTGGAATTATAGTTAGGTATCTACTTGGTGACAAAGACTTTATGATATTGTATAAGAAGGACATTCAATGTTTTATTTTTTTTCGCAGCAACATAGTGATTTTAAGAGTCATCGTTGACGAGTAATTTTACAATACTTGTACTTCAGTCAGTAGTTACCTAGTGGCTATTACTCAATACAATATATTGTTTGTATGTTTATATGTTATATTATTATTACTGATTTCCTAAAAATATAATATAGGTAGGTATTTAATGAAATTATTAAATTTTGATCGTATCAATCAAAATGATTTAGGCACCTATAGACAATTTATCATTAAATGATATGTTCAGTTTTTCACTGCCCACAGGTGTACATTATTCACCAGATAGCGTTAAAGACGAGTAGGTACCACGACTGGATAGTAGAGGGGTGAATCATTTAAGAAACGTTCGGCCTAAGACCTTCCTTTCACTCCCCCCACAATATTAGAATCCATTTTCCAGTAATCCAGTACCGTATACTATCATAATGTATGATGCAGTCTATTTCTTGTACAACAGGTTGTCTTTCGCGTTCACGCGTGTCATTTTTATGAATTTCAAAAATTATGTAATTTTTAAAACGATAAAAAACAGCTTTGTTCAATATTGCTTAAAATGTAACAGATTTTTCTTATAATACCATTCAATTATTGTAATTAAATAAAATCGGCGAATGCATTAAAAATATTTTTTTCGAGTAAATACAATTATGTGTTCTATGTTAATGACCTGTTTGTTGTACATAATTGTTTTACTCGAAAGTAAGTGGAAACTTAAACGCCCCTAAAAAAAAAAAAAAATAATAAAAAAATGTTTTAATGTTTTTATACAGGTCACTATGTTATAAGTACCGATTACAGAGGGAAATCATTAGGAACTTTGAACTCTTACCATCATCAAGTTGGAGGAGAAGTGTTTGCTGTTAATGAATATACACTTTTGATTACTGATTTTACATTTGACGGAAGTGCAACTGATGCATTTTTTTGGGCTGGAGCTTCCAGTAGGCCAGGACCACAAGGATTTATTTTATCCAATGAATATGGACGGTGAGTAAAACTTGTTCAATTAATTATATTTCATGTATTTTAATTTTGTAGGTAGTAGGTACTTTACTGAGGTAAAAAAGGTTAGGTTTAAGAAATTAATAATTAAATGAACAGTTTAAAATTTACGGGGACGTGAATTATTATATGATCCAACTAGTAAATTAGTTTCATTATAAAAGTTAACATTTAGTTAAATGCAAACCATGAAATCAGGTCAAAATTTGAATCTTTGGTAAATGATTATTATTATCTTTCCAGGACGGATGTGCTAAAACGATATTTAGGAAAAGAATTGAAATTAACTCTTCCTGATAATAAAAAATTGACAGAAATTAGTTGGTTTGCTATTTATGATCTTTCAAAAAATGTGAGAAGTTTAATATAAATATATATTTTAAATAAAAAAAAAAATATTCATCAAATAAATATAATATGTATAGATTGCATTTGGTGATGTTTATGTCCCGGATGATTTTGAACCACCAGTTAAACAAATAATTGGTGATCTTACTACAAAATCACACGGAGTTTCATCAGGACCAATAGAAATATTAGATTCTAAAACTATCAAGATACCTATGTTTTCTTATAATGGTGCTGGGAAAGGTAAATATTAAATGCTAATATTTCTAAGAATTCCAAATATTTGATTTTTTTTTATTATTGGTAGACACTTATTTTGTTGTGGGAAATGGTCCTCAACCATCAGCAAAAGGAAAAAAAATTCCAGATGAGTCCGGATAGTGAGTTTACATTCTATGAAGTTCTCAGATTTTAAATTATGTTATAATTTATTTTGTTTTTTTTTACAGTTTAGATAATTTAAGAACTTATTTAAATGAAACTATCATACTAGAACTGGTTGGAGATACTACAGTTTTCGATATAGACTGGTTAAGTGTATATGATATAGAAAGTAAAGATAATTTTGGTTGGGTTTTAATCCCAGACGAACCAAATGTACCTCCATCACTACAAAAAGTTGCTGTAAGTATTATTCAGCCCTCATCAAAGACAGTTTAAACTTTTAATACTTGTATAATATTTACTGAAGCAAACCAAAATGTGTATTATCCAATAACTTAAAAAAAGTAAAGGTTTCAGTTAAATTAAATTTACTTTGTATACTCTTACTAAAGATGTACTATAAATACTTTTGAGTTTTGTTGTAGGTAACATTAATTACTGCCTAATAACTAATGTGTATTTTTAGGATAAAGTGGAAAATATTCAGCACTGTGTTCAATTACATAAAAAGCTTCAGCTAAGTTGGCAAGTATTTGGGCCACAAATCACAATAAGACTAGCAGGGCAAATAGAAAAAGATAGTTATATGGCATTTGGATTTAGTGGATCAGCCGAAACTCCTCAAATGCTAGGAGCTGATATTGCTGTAACTTACATTGATGGTTTTAGAGGCCATGCAGTTGATTACAATATTACAGATAAATCTCCAGTTTGTTGAGATAATGTTTTTGATTTTTCTTTTATAATAATATATATCTACATATACATTTTTAATTTTAGTGTGTAAAAGTATTGGGTCAGTACAAAGGAGTATGTCGAGATACTTTAGTTGGCGGACTAGATGATAATCAAGTACATACTGCATCGGAAGAAAATGGAATTCAAATAATAACGTATAGAAGAAATTTACAATCATGTATGTTTATTTAATATAGTTAAAAGTTAGATTAAAATTGAGTGAAAATTAAAACATGTATATCTTGATAAAAAATGAAAATATCAAAAATCATTAGATCATATACTATGGATAGAGCTACTGCATGATAAACGCGAACTACGAGTTGAAGACATCATTATTAACGAGTGCTAAGGGGACGAGGTCTATTGCACATGAGTATCAGTACTCGTCGCATATTTATTATAATACCACCAGACAATGAGGGTAGGTACATCGCATATGATAACATGAATTTGACTTATTGCATGTGATATAAATTTTGCTCATGTGCATTTGTCCCAACTCCTCTTAGTTATGTTTGCTTCAAATACTTAGTCAATAGCTCTATCCATAGTATATAATCTAAGGTAAATATTCTTTTTTATAAAATGTATAATAGATCTCTTTGCCTTGAACTCAACTAGAGAGTTATAATTTTGGAATTTTGCTTTATTTGCTACATTGTGTGCTTGTCACACAAAAAAAAACTAATTTTATTCTAATTTTTAACTATTATTTGATTATTTTAACTAAAATTGAATGTAATTTTAGATGATGCTGGAGACAAAGAATTTAAAACTAATTCATTAAATTCAATGATTTGGGCAATTGGTCGCATGAATCATCAAAAAGAACCAAGTATTCATGATTATTTCCCAAGAAGTATATTAAAACTCGATCTAGATCCTAAGCCTCCAATCGATACTTGTTACCCTTTCACTATAAATACAGAACCTTTAAAAAGGTAGATAAACTTTAAAAAGAAAATAGTATTAAATTCAACTTACGAATACTTAACTGGTATTTTTAGAGATGTTTGGGATCAACCAAAAATCATTGATGCTAGCTTACGTCTGATGACCGCTACTCTAGGACCATCAGGTGGGAAAAAAGGATATCAAGGTCTAACAGGTATGTAAATTGAAGTATATTTTGAAAAAGGTTATTAGGTAAAAATTTATTTTACAGGTTTTTTTTTAATAATAATATTACCTTTATTGCTATTATAGGTATGCCTTCACCTGGACTTGCATGGTATATAAATGGATATTTAATACCTGAAATATGGTTAAAACGAGGTATTACGTATGCAGTCCATATTTATGGAGGCAATAATCCACATAGTTCACAGTATTACCATCCTTTTGTAATAACAGATGAACCAAATGGTGGTTATGATGGTATGTCAGATACTGCACAGAAACATACAAGAATATTAGCAGGTGTTCAATATACACTCAGAAGACAAGCTCGACCTACTTCTTGTATGTAAAAGTTAAAGAAAATTGTTTTTTAAATAGATATCTTTTAATGTATTTAAATAAAAAAATGTTCTTTTAGCGGGACCATTATGTTTGCGTGAGAGAAAAGGGTTTGATCGTCGTTTAGATGATAATTTTCCTACATTTAAAGAATTTAATCGATCATTGGATATGAGATGTGACTCAGGTAAATATAAAATTAATCTAAGTTTTATGTTAAAAATAACAATATTATGTATTTCAGGAGATCCAGCAATCTTAGAATTTAAACCAAATTCTTCTTGGCCAGATATTGTGTATTACCATAGTTTTGTTCAAAGCAATATGGGTTGGAAATTACATATTGTTGATAAATTTAGTACAGGTAGAAGTTTAGCTGCTCAAAATAAATTAAATTGGCTTTTAGGAATATATTTTTTATTTAATTTGTATTTGAATGTGATATTATGTTAATTTAGATTTAAATATTTTTATACATTTATAAAAAAAATAAAATATATATATATAGAAAACTTTATGAATAAAAACCAATTGTTATATGTTGTTATTTATTTGAAGTAATTACTAAAATGTAATATGGATTAATAATGTTATAATTTGTATACAATAAAATTCAAGAAATTTCCAAGTTAGATTTAAAAAAACATGATTAATAGGTAAATGTTTATATATATTAAATCCTTCAATCTATGTTCAAATAGTATGTCTAGTTATTTATGTTTGGGTCTTGGTTGCTTATAACAACTATTTCATTAAACCATATGGGTTTATATAAATTAAATAAACATAACTTCCATGTCTACTTGTCCCCTAATAAATAGGTCTCTACTAAAATATTAATGTACATTTGTAATAAAATAATAAACTAAAAACAAAATGGTAATAAATGGTAATACTCCTAAATAAAAAAATGAATGCGTTGCCTGAAGTATTATGATAAGTGTATTATACGACCGGTTTTAAATTAAAAATTCATCATCAGGTAAATCACAGTTAAAGTGTAAAACATAACTAAATATAAAAAATTAAATGAAGGAATATATAGAAAAAAATTATACAAATTGGTCGTTTTTACATAGAAATAATTTATTTTAATAGGACAGATTATTTTAAATGGGTTATTATTAGATACAGATATGTTAAGAAATATAAATTATTTGGTTATTATTTATTACCTATCTAAAATATACTGATATAAGATATTATTTTTAAAATTGGTTTGTACATTTAAAATATTAAAAAATAATTTTTCTTTATTTCATTGTATACATGTAATTCTTCAAAAACTGAATTAATGTAAATGTTATTTTGGATATTTATATTTCTTAACATATCTATGTCTAATAATAACCCATTAAAAATAATCTCTCCTATTAAAATAAATTATTTCTATGTAAAAACGACCAATTTGTATAATTTTTTTCTATATATTCCTTCATTTATTTTTTATATTTAGTTATGTTTCACACTTTAACTGTGATTTACCTGATGAATTTTTTATTAGAAACCGGTCGTATAATATATTTATCATAATACTCCAGGTGTCGCATTCATTCATTCATTTATTTATTTTTTATTTCTGTATTTATTTAATGTATGTACATTTATAAACTTAATTGAAATATATTTGTGTGCAAATGACTTCGAACAAGCTGTTTTCTGGGAATGATACAATGGATAATATAAAACTAAAAGTGAATTCATTAATGACATTATTAGATGGATTATAACAACCTTGTAACAATTATAAGTTTGATCCATGAATATGCAATGTGATTTATATGTATACAAAAATGTAGTAACCGATTGTTAGAGAATTTTAAATTCTAATAAATAAAATGTGTTCCTGAACACGCATAATTATTTTGATAATAAATTTTAAATTATTATAAAAAAAATTACGAAGTACCTTACGTTGTATCTGCTAGGTAAAAACTCATTAGGTGTAAATGAGGCGATTAATATTAATAAAATGATACATAACCGAAATATTATTGAAGCATAAATAAAAGAACAAAGACAGTGTGCAACGACTGAGCGCAGGCGAGCGAGTGAAAATACCACACAATGCAGATAATAATAATAATTATAATTAAGACCGCCAGGCATGCACCTTATCAAGTATTACATTTAGACATAAATATAGATATAAAAGACAGAATGAAAATATCAAATCAATGTAATTTCAATGGGAGAATTTCAGAGATTTGAAGACGAAATTGATTTTCATATGTTGATAAAGTAATAAAATCTATTTATCGAACTGCACGTATTTTGGCGATACACCATAAAGAAATGTGAGTTTACCAAATTTGTTTAAATGTTTGTCCCCCTCAAAATAGTCAAAAGGTGTATACATTTTAAAGTTAGGTAGGTAACATACCTATAGTAGGTTATTTTAAATCTAATTAAAATAATTTAATCTAAAATTAGATTAGTATTTTTTCAATATTAGAAAAGGAACTGTAATGGCATACAAATTAAACAAAAATGGAATTAATGTAATTTGTTATGAAACATCACAACAAGGAAACTAAAAAAATACAATTTTACCAATATTATCAGACCTCTTGAACTTGAGCAAGTGTTATCATTACAAACTACAGTATTAATATAAAGTATTTGAAAAAAATGAAATATGTTGGTCGAACATGAAAAAATGAGATAGAAGCTGGTATTATAGAGGTTACCCCAGAATTTGAAATAGAAATCAACAATTTTAAATTGCAAATCACATAGCTAGATGTAAGCCAGAATGGTTTTTTAATGTTATGTTTATCTTTTATCTATTTTATTAAAACTTTAATTTTGTAATTTTATTTAGAAAACATACAATTAGTACAGGATGATAAAACAATTCCAAGACATTTTAGAAATATTGACCTGAACGTCTTAAGCAAATTGGACAAATCTACGACTAAAATCTATAACTTTACGAATATTTTTGAAACTGATATACAATAAAAGTGAGGATATTAATAACATTGGATATCTATGTTTAAAATACTCTAATCAGTTTGCTATGAATGTCAACTGAATCGATAACTTTATGTAAAACAAAAAAAATCATAAAAATTAATAATACCTGTTTAGAACTATAATGGTGAAGAATAACAAAGTAAAACATACAAATAACAGTTTAGAATGTGAATTATTTCAAAAACAATAAAAGTTATAAAAAAGAGATAAAAAATAAATAGGAAATTTGGAAGAAGAAAACTAATTTAAGGCCCAATTAGATAAATTGAAACAAGCAATTAGTCAATAAGCGGCTTACAATAAAATATTAGCTAATAAGTGTATTCAGCTGAGCAAATAAAATAAAATGCACAAACCAATTTAATTAAGTGCCTGCTGTTTTAATTTTATTAATAGAGTTATCTATGCAGGTTAAATTTGGTAATTTAACTACAGTATCCAACCAGAAACCTAACAGTAATAAATACAAATTATTAATAAGTACTAGGTACCTACATTATAACGCCATTTAATATAATAAACCACAATAATAATTAATTGCAATTTGTTTTGGCATTATGTACTTGTATTGTTGAATAGAATTGTATTTTATATTTAGCGTATAATATAATAATATTTGGACTAGAAAATAATATTTCGGTTTTATATTCACTGCCGTCTTTTTTCATGCTCTATTATTATCATTTTCGAATGCTGCTTATGACCCATCTATATATACAATGCGAACTTTTAGTGTAGTGTAAAGGTACGCGTCGAACGGATCGTATGAAACGGATTTTAGAATTATTAGTATAGTAAGTTAAACATGTGCGTCCACTGCCCGGCAACGGACGGACCGCACGCATCGGTCCGTCGGTAATGCCGACGAAATTGATCGAAGGGGCAACTTTTCCGACTGGTGCGGATGACGTCATACGGATTGCCGATAAGTGGACGCGTGTCACAACCGGTCGTCACTGATCATTTGAATTTTGTTGTATTTCGACACTCAGTGCACACCACGTGTTTTAATTATAATATATTTATTATTTTAACTATAATTATTATTACGCATATCATGGACATCGCAACGCTAATAACAATTGTACAAGAGTACGAGGAGTTGTACAATTTAAAACACCCTCATTATTCAAATCAACAAAGACGAGATAATATTTGGGAAGAAATTGGAAAAAGATTAAATCAAACTGGTAAGTTTATTCATATTTAAACATAATTAGTTGGTAAAATAAAGCTATTTAGGTACAAAATGTTTTATGTTTTCTCTTAATTCCTCTTCTTTCTTCTTCACTCAATAACAAAGCAATAATGACAAGTTCTTCATCACTTTCCATGTTGTCTATTAGGTACTATTAGATCTATTACACACTGTATTGTTTCCGATCGTCCACTCGCAACAAAAATGCGAATGTTACTAAAAAAAATCCGACCGTCGCATCGGCAATCCGATCGCTACGTATCCAGTGGACGCACTACCACAAATTGATACGTTTCATACGATCCGTCCGATGCGTACCTTAAGAACTATATGGAAACATTCTATTCATTGTTTATATTGTTGATTGTTTACAAATAATAAATAAATACTACCTTTTCCATCATCATTTGTCACGGATGATACGCAGATAATTGCATCAAACTACAATCAACAAGACAATTTGATGATATATTTTGTAACATTTTAACTATTCTTGTTTCAGTGTATTATTACAGTTGGAAAAAAATCAAAATATATTTATTAAAAAATAAAATTGGAAGGCTCCATGCAACAATCAGACAAGTCCACTTTTTAAAATTGTTCAGAAGAAAAATTAGTTTGAACTTGTCTGCTTTTTTTTAATAAAATGTTAATTTAGACAAATCATTTTGTCTATCTCTTTCTAGAACACAAGGAGAAACAACTGTACTCTAAATACACAAAAATTGATTTTCTGAAAATTAAATGAACTTGTTTGGTTGTAGAACAAAGCCCTACAATTACTACTTTAGAAATACTCAAGGTTCCAAATTGAAATAAGTCAAGCAGTTGTTTTCTGGTATACCTAAACATTTTTTACAAACCTAATGATTACACACTTATTTTAATGATAAGTTTGTGCATCATGAAAATGTAATTTTTTTCAAGAGATTTTTGAATATCCGAATGTTGATGTCCACATCAAAAGGAACATAATTGCTATTTTTTTTTATCAACCAGTTTTTATTGAGTAGTTTTTTATTCAATATGTTGAACTAAATCAAACTTACAATGGTTTTGTGTCTAAGCACATACCGAGTACCAATAAAATACAAAACAAACTTTGTATTCTTCCATTGAATGTTATAAGACTTTTCTTATAAAACACAACTACTATTAAGTGTGTCAAGAAGATAAAATATATATCAAGAGGACATTTGTTTTATGAATACCAGTGATTATAGTAATTATGATTTGGCATAGTTTTGTTTATGTTTAACATTTACATATAGCTTAA